GCCAGGAAATGATAAATGAAACTGATGGGAGGGGCTGGGGATTTAGCTCAGTGGTACAAAGCCTGCCTGGCAAGTGTGAGGTTCTGAGTTTGATTCCTGGTACCCCTCCCAACCACGCCTGAATTGAGGGGGAAAAGCAGCATAGGACGTTATCTGGATATATGAAATAAATAAATGAGTAGCTTCATGTATCATCATGCAAAAATCTCAAAAATGGAATGCTGAGTAAAAAGAACCATACAGGAATGATATGTAAATTATATCTATATGCATATGTGGAAAAATATAAAACATGTATGGAATGGATAAATAGCACAATTAAGATTCTGGTTACCTCTGAGAAGAGGAACAGCTTCAGGGAGGGTACACTGAGATTCACCTATGGCTGCAATGTATTATTTATTGGAGAAAAAAAATGAAGCTGATATGGTCAGATATTAACATTTTATAAATCTACGTGATAAACACACAGGTGCTCATTATATTTTTAAAATGATTTTTCTGGGGGCTTCAGGGAAAGTGGCAGAGTGACAAATAGCAGAGACAGCATAAGATTTGGTGTTCAGATGTAGAATACAGCCAATGTGAAGAGGGAGACAATTTCTACAATTAAACAATAATGCCAACACAACATACAGGAACTTATACAACAAAATGAAAGCAGTCCTATGAGGAAATTTCATAGCAATGAATTCCCATATCAGAAAAACAGAGCAAGCTCAAATAAATAACCTAATATTGAATCTCAAGCTCCTAGAAGAAGTGCAGATGAAACCCCATGTTCATACAAGGGAGGAAATTACAAAGATCAGGCCTGAAGTTAATGCAAATGAGACTAAGAAAACAATGCAAAGAATCAATGAATTGAAGAGTTGTTTCCTTGAAAGATTAAATTGACAAACCCTTAACCAATTTAACAAAAAGAAAAGAAAGTAAAGACTCAGATCCATGTAATTAGGAATGAAAAAAGGTGAAGTCACAATAGATCCTGCAGAAACCCAGAAGAACATCAGTACATACTTCAAGAATCTGTATTCTAATAATATGGAAAACACAGAAGAAATGGACAGATTGCTAAATACATATGAATTATCAAAGCTGAATCAAGATATAAAAATTTGGATTTTTTTTTTTTTTTGGTCTTTGTTGAGACAGCGTCCCACTGCAGTTTAGGCTGGGCTTCAGCTCACTTTGTAAACCAAACTGGCCTCTAACTCACAAAGATCCCCCTGCCTCAGCCTCCCAAGAGCTGAGATTACAGGTGTGTACCACCATGTACAGATTAAGAATTTTAAGTAAACTAGTATCAGTCATTAAAATTGAAGACACAATTAAAAACCTACCAAGTACTTGAAGTAGGTATTGATGATCTTCTGGGTAGAATTCTGCAGGATCTATTATGATTTCACCCTTTTCATTCCTAATTGCATGGATCTGAGTCTTTTTTTCTTGTTAAGATTGGTTGGTTGTCAATTTAATCTTTCAAAGAAAAGCCAAAATCCTGACAATTCACCACTGAATTCTACAAGAAATTTAGAAAAAAACTAATGCCACTACTCCTCAAACTCTTTAGTAAAATAGAAAGGCAGGTAATACTCTCAAATTCATACCTGGAAGCAAGTATTACCCTGATACCAAAACCAGAGAAGCAACCAACCAAAAAAAGAACTACAGGCCAATCTCCTTTCCTAATGAACATAGATGCAAAAATTCTCAATATGATACTGGCAAACAATGCAGCATATCATCAAGAAGATTATCAAGAGATGGTTCTATATATGGAAATCAATAAATGGAATACACTGTATTAACAAAGTCAAGGACAAAAACCTTCACAGATGTAGAAAAAGTACAAAGTAGATGTTGACAAAGTCCAATACTCATTCATGATAAACTCATTCATGATAAAAACCCTACAGAAAATTGGACTAGGTGGTCTTTATCTCAATCTGATAAAAGCCATCTATGATGAACCATCAGCCAACATCATAGGAAATGGAAAAAAACTGAAAGCTTTTATTCTATGATTATGAACAAGATGAGGATGTCCACTGTTACCAATGTAATTCAATACAGTTTTGGAAACATTAGCCAGAGCAATTAGACAAGAGAAAGAAATAAAAACAGGAAAGACAGTAGTTAAATTATCATTATCTGTGGATGACATAATATTTTATAAAGATGATCCCAAAAACTCTACTAAAAGACTTCTAGATTTAATAACCAAATTCAGTAATATATAGCTGGATATGAAGTCAACACTCAAAAATCAATAATATTCCTGTACACAAATGATAAACTCACTGAGAAAGAAATTAGGGAAACAATGCCTTTTACAACACCATCATAAAAATATCTAGAATCAACCTAACAATAGAAGTTAAAAAAATAATCTTCACATTGAAAACCACAGTATTCTGAAAAAAAAAAAAAAAAGATCAAAAAGGATATCAGAAAAGGGAAATATATCTCTTATTCTTGGATAGAAAGAACCAATATAGTGAAAAAGCCTGCATTTCCAAAATTGTTATACAGATTTAAGAAAATCCCAATTAAAATACTAACAGCATATCACTGACTTACAGAAAACAATTCTAAAATCATTTGGAACCAGAAGAGACCTGGAATAGCAAAAGTAATTCTGGGCAACAAAAGCAAGAAATCACATTTCTGCCTTGAAATTATACTATAAAGCTACTAGAGTAAAAATATGGTACTGGCAAAAGCAGATTGTAGTATCAGTGGAACAGATTAGAAGATGTAGAAACAACTCTAAGACAGCCATCTTATCTTGCTTTTACTTGAAAAAGAATAAAGTTTTATTTTTAAAAGAATAAAATATTCTTAAAAGAATATATTAAGAAAATAAAATAGGCTGGGGATTTAATAAAACAGTGGCCCAAGCATCTGCCTGGCAAGTGCAAGGTCATGAATTTGATATCTGGTACCAGAAAACAAACAAACAAACACCCAGAATAAAGCCAATCAAAACAGTGAAAGTGATACAGAACTTCAAAACAAGATAATAGGAAATCAATAATGGCTACCATAATATATTTTGTTATCTTTGAAATAGCTGCCCATGCCATGAGATATAGTAACATCAAACAAAACAAAACAGAATAAAACTAAACCAAACAAAACAATGACAACAATACAGGATTTAAAAACAAGATAACAGAGAATTAACAATGGTTACCACCTTCAGAAGGAGATCCCCCATAGTTCCTGTACTGTCATGTTGTTATCCTCCAAATAGATGCTCAGACAGCAGCCTTAGGCCTGCAGTCAATCAAATATTAAACACTACAAGCATTAAGTTGTTTTTTTCTATTACAGTAGCTATCATTTCAGCCTGTTTCTCCAGCCAGTTGTTTGGGGAGCAGTGAAGAGGCGCCGTATGATCAGCTCTTCTTGTCACCAGTTGGCTCACAGAAAGGGATGGCTTATTTCTCCTCCATGGCCTGTGACTGCTGCTGCAGCCACCTTATCTTTGACAAAGGAGCCAAACATCTTCATTGGAAGAAAGCCTCTTTAATAAACAGTACTAGAAAAACTGGCTTTCCACATGCCAAAGATTAAAACTAGGCCCACATCTGTCACTACGCACTAAACTAAAATCAAAATGGAGCAAGTCTAAATATTAAAGCAGAAACACTAAAGTTGCTTGAAGATAGGATAGGTGGAATTCTTGAAGACATTGATGTAGGCAAGGACTTTATGAACAAAACCACAGGATCTATCACAAAGAATCAACATTTGGGATCCCATCTTATTGAAAAGTTTGTATAGCAAATGAAACCCTCATCAGAGTGAAGACAACCCACAGTGGGGGAAAAATTTGTGCCAGCTGCTCCTTCAACAAAGGACTACTATCTAGAATAAAGAATTTTTAAAAATCTGATCTCCAAATTTAAAGACGGAATCCAAAAATGCACATCTGAAGTGAACAGACATGTCTTAGATGAAGAATTCAAGAGATACAAATGCAATTACTGCTAGATTCTATCTCACTGCAGAATAAATGGTTATCATTACGAAATCAACCAAAAACAAATGCTGGAAAGGCTGTTGGGGAAAAGGAACCCTTTTCCACTGTTGATGGGAGTCTGGATTGGTGCAAACTGTGGAAATCAGCATGCAGATTTCTCAAAAAACTAATATTAGAGGTCCCATTTGACCCAGCTGTTCTCTTTCTCAGTATCTTCCCAGAAGAATTAAAAGCATCATTCCACAGTGAAACATGCTATAGGGGAACAGTTTGTAATAGCTAAATCTTGGAACTAGCCAAAATGTCCATCAACTGATGAGCAGATAAAGATGTGTTTTTCTGACACATCTAGGCAATGTTGAGACACTTCGAGGTAATGGATGTACCTTGAGCTCATAATCTTAAGTGACATAAGTCAGACACGAGTGCTTAAATACTACATTATTTCTCTGCCATGAGAAACCAGAAGTGCAAATAAGGGTCAAAATGTGAAATAGACATTGGAAATGGGAAGAAAATTTTCAAATACAAACAATAGGGAAGAGGGAGGGGTAAGGAAGTAAGTGACAAAGCAAAAAAAGAGAACAGAAAAAAGCTGAAAACCAAGCTTTTGTAAATTAAGGAGGGGAAGAAGAGTTGAAGGGAGGGGAGGAGAATGGGGAAAAATGCAATTTTTTTATATATAAGTATTAAAAATGAATGCAACAAAAAGTTTAATCTATCGCCTAGTAATAGGGAAGGAAGAGGTCCTACTGGCTATGTTTTTGCACAGCAGACTGGTTCAGGGACGGTAGACAACCCAACCCTTCACAGATCACATGCTCTATAAATCAGTTAAAGCTGGGCATAGAGGTGCAGGTCTATAATCCCAACACTCAGGAGGGGACGGTAGGAAGATCTTGAGTTTTTGAGTTGCAGGCCAGCCTGGGCTACACAAGGGCCAGCCTGAACTACATAGTGAAATCCTGTCTGAAAACAAAAAAACAAACCAGTAGAGTAATCGACTCACTGGGCAGGACCATGCTCCGGTAATCCTTCAGTGCACTCTCCCTTCCGAAGTACCTCTGAGCTGCATCTAGATGCTTCCACTCTTCCCAGGTAACAGACACAGCCTCTAAAGTCACCAATCCCTGGAACAACATGAGATCCCAAGTTAGTACCTGCTGTTCCGAGACAGCACTGCCACTCATCTATGGATGAGGCCAGACTCAAGAAGTGAAGGCAGAAGCACCGAGAATCAAAAATCACAATAGCCGAATCTTTGCTAATGATGTGTGTACTTATTGGGGAGTTCTCAAGGGGCCAAAGACAGGAGTAAATAGCCTCTTGTAAACCTGAACATCTTTCTGTGAACTCTCTACAGTGATGAGATAGGTAGGAGCAAAATATTTGCATTATTTCACTGTAATTAACCAAAATAGTAACCTGATATAGATGAAAATCATAGAGAAAGTTTTACCTTCCAGTTCTGGCTCCCTGAGATGCTATTTCCACATAAGTGAGACAGACCTACCTCATCTACAACAAGTGCTCAAAAAATTTCATTTCCTTTCCCTTGACCATTTATAATAAAACACTTACCAACAGGATGATCTTTTGAGTTTGGCACAGTGGTAGATGGGTATAATTTCAGCACTCTGGGAGGCTGAGGCAGGAGGGTCAAAAGTTCAAACCCAGCCTAGACTAGTTTAGTGAAACCTGAAACTCAAAACAAAACAACAGAAAAAAAAAAAAAAATCCCAGGCATAGTGATGTACACCTATAATCCCAACACTAGGTAGGCTAAAGCAGAGTTGAAGGCCAGCCTGTACTACATAGTGAATTCAAGGGTAGCCTAAACTAGAGTGACTGCGTCTCAACAAAAGCAAATGGGCCAGAGATGCAAAGGTCCTGGATTCAAATCTTCATTCGTACCCTCCCTCCCAAATCAGCTAACTACTCACAGAAATTAAAGTCACAATCCTTAGAAAGCGAAGGTTCTACGACTGTTGAGGGAGATGTCTGTCCAGGTTCTAGTGAGGATCAGAAACTCACTTTCAAAAAAAAAAAAAAAAAGAAACTCACTTTCATGCTCACTGTATGTGTCTCTATATTTGTACTTACAGGTCAGATGCCATACGTGTGTTATGTTTGGGGGCTTCTTAAATTTAGGGACATTTGCATATACTTTACTGGTTAAGCATTCCTAATTGAAAAACACAGTCACTGAAATGTTCCAAAATCTGAAAATTAAAAAATTTCCTTTGGAGATAAGATCTCACTAAGTAGCCCAAGCCAGCAGTGAACCTGGAATTTTCCTACTTCTAACTTTTTCAGTGTCAGCCCCTTTTTAAGTGCCTGAGTGCTGAGGCAGAGAAATTTTTTGCCTTTGAACAAGGCTGAAGTATGAAATGACCATTTGTTGTTACAACCTGAGTAACTTAGGAAAATCTCATTTTAAAAGAAAAAAAATTAAAAAGAACCGGAATGTAGCTCAGTGTGAAGGCGTTAGTTTCAACTCCCAGTACCAACACTACCACACTACACACACACACACACAAAGATATGATTACTGGAAACTGGATCTTCTAACTCCCAGATCAGCACTTTTCTGTTTTAAGTAATTGTTTAACTAAATAGTTCTCTACCTCATATTCCTTTTTAAAATAGAACAGGATGGCATCACGCATTTTTCAGCTACAACATTTTGTCTTAAATTGCTACAAAAGCCCATACACGAACACCAAATATTAATGCCATTTCATTTATATACACCACTCCTCACTTTCATTCTTGTAAGTAACTGGCTGCTTATCCCAGTGACAGTCTTTTTTTTTTTTCTTTTTGATGAATACCATGAATCAAACTCATGCACCTCATGCTTGCCAGGCAAGCACTGCGCCACTGAGTTACATCCCCAGCCCCCTCAATGACATTCTTCTCTTCACACTTTTCAAACCAAATATAAGGACTCTGATCAGCTGTTTAATGATGCTAATATCTATGTCGCAACATGTCCTTTCCTTGTTTTTAGAGGAGGCATATGGAGTTATGTGTAGAGAGGTATGTAACAACATCAGTGAAAATGACATAGAGCAATGAACCAAGGCACACATTTCTGCTAATGCCATAATATCATATCACTAAATATGTGGTTCTTATCTCACCCAAGGTATGTTAGTGATGACTAAAACTGGTTAGCTTTGGCTTTGGTCAAGCAGCAGCAAAGTGGGATAAAATAAGTCCCACAAAATGCAAAATTACGGATAATGGCTGTCTCTCACCCAAATGAGGTTTATATAAAGTCCAATAGTAACCAGAGCCTGGTGGCTTAGGCTTGCAAACCCATCAGTCTGTGAGGCCGTAGAGGCGACTGCAAGTCTGAACCTACACTGGGCAATTTAGCAACTCAGTGAGACTATGACTCAAAATAAAAATACAAAAAATATTGAAGATGCACATCAGTGAAACAGCCCCGGGATTGACAGCCCGTACCTTAAAAAAAAAAAAAAAGTTTCAGTCCAACAATATTCTATGAATTATAATTACATTGAATCTGCTTTTGCTGAAAGCCTACTACAAACTGTCCATGGGAACTGAAAGCTGCAGATTGAAAAATGCATCAGTGCGTAAGGAGGAGGGGTCAGCAAACAGGAAAAAAACAAAAAGGGACCTTTGCATTCAAAGTAGGGAGGAAACTATTGTTCCAGCACGAGTAACTTAAGGATCTGAACTCACTTTCCATCCTGACATCTTTCTTTCCTAAACAGTCTACTAAAGGAGAGGGTGGGTGTGCTGCAATGCGTGAACGGTAACTGCTGTTGGGTATAACCCTAAGGTGTCAGTTTCCTACGTAAAGAAAAGAACGTTCATGTACATCCTAAAGTTCCCAAAAATGTGATAAGCGAGGAAAGATGAGTAAGAAGTCCAGAGCATCGCTCATGCATCTGCAACACATCCACCACCACTAACGTCCCTTCTCACCTCACATGGGGTCTGGGCCAGCGCTGCCAGGAGAGCCCGAGTCAGGGCCGAAGCCTTCTCCCTGCTCTCTGGGCAGTGTCTCCGCACCCACGCCTGCAGCTCCCCAGGAAGGATGCTCAGGAACTGTTCCAACACCACCAGTTCCAGGATCTGCTCCTTGGAGTGCAGCTCGGGCCTCAGCCACCGACGACAAAGTTCCCCGAGCCGGCTCAGCGCCTCTGCGGGCCCAGCCACCTCATGGTACCGCAGCTGCCTAAACTGCCGCCGAGAACCTTCGGGATCCGTGCAGGCCCCGGGGGGTTCGGACTCCAGCACCTCGCGTGAGTCTTCCTCCACTTTCCCCTTTAAAATTTCCTCCGACAGGAGTGGCGCGGCGACCTGGGACCTCACAGCCATCTGCGCTTTGGGGCGTTCAGAATTTAACAGGACTTTTTCCGGCATCTGCTGACTTCCTCTAAGTGTTGCCTGCCGGGGACAGAAGGGCTGACTCACGGAACTGACGAGCTGCCCCCAAGGCGAGAGCCGGGGGACGTCTGCTCCGGAACACCGCCCCGCCCTCGCCCCCGCCCCCCGCCGCCGCTTACCCCAGGGGTCACTTTCCCACAGACTTCTCCAACCAGAACCCTTACCACGCCGCTGCGGGAAAAACCAAAACAAAGCCAAACCGGAAGTGCGTCCCTGGCCCTGTGGCGGCTGCTCTCCCCATTTCCGGGCCTCTCTGCGCGCTTGGGAGGATTGAGACGCAGGTAGCAGAGTGGGGGTGTGTGAAAGGGAAGTGAGAAGGATTAAAATGAGTGGCTAGATGTGGTGACGCATGCCTGTAACCCCAGCTCTCGGGAGGCTGGGGCAGGAGGATTGGCTTGAGTTCCAGGCTAGCCTGGGCACCTGGCTAGCGCTGTTTAAAAAAAAAAAAAAAGACGCGTTATGCATGTTTGTGCACCAACTCTCCACAACAAATGCAATGATTACTGCAAACCTGTACTAGTAAAACAATAAGAAACGAAAGGCTTCTCGGTGGTTTTCTCTCATTAGGATTAGGGCTGAGTTTGGAGCTGGGAGAATACATAAATAAATGGTTTAAGAGCATGTGGCCAACGCTGGTACAGGGAACATTCAGGACAGGGAGAAAACAAGGAATTTTAAAAGCTTCTATGTATGTCAGATGTTATGGGTTTGAATCTAACACCAATTAGCAAACTGGATGAGGCCACACGCACCTATAATTCTAGCATTCTGGGAGGCTGAAGCAGGAGGATCTCAAGTTCTATCTCAGCTTGTGCAATTTAGTGATTTAGCGAGAACTTGTCTTAACAGGTTTTGTTTTTTTTTTTTTTTTTTTTTGGTGCCGAGGATCGAACTCACGACTTCGCATTTGCAGGCACTAACGCCGCTGTGGTAAACCATCCCAGCCTTAAAAATAGTTTTTAAAAAAGACAGGGGTCATAGTTCAGTGTAAAAGCTCTAAGTTCAATAACCACTACCTAAAAAAGAAAGAAAGGAAGGAAGGAAGAATATGTCTTGCCTGATGTTAAGCAGCTGGTGATTTGAATAAAACCAAATGTACAATTCAAATTCCAAACTCAGGAATTCCATTACTATAAATCACTTATTGTAACTGCCCCCAAATTGCCTGGTTAGTTCCTTCCTTTCTGCATTCAAGAAGCATATGTGACCACCTACTCTGCTTTTGCTTGCAGGAAAGTACAAGTCCAGTTCAATGTGTTGTCTGTAGCACTAACAGTACCTGATTGTGAACACATGTGCAGTACTAAATAAAGTATTCATCTCTCTTCCTCTTGATTTCTTTTTTTTTTTTTTCCTGGAAACCAGACCAAGATTTGTGCATGCTTGGCAAGTGCTCTACCAGTGAAATATAGCCTCAGCCCATAAATAAAATAGTTCTTTGACTTTTTTGGGGGGGATATTCGGGAATAGAACTCAGGATCTCAGGCTTGCCTGAACTAAATCCCCACCCCAATAAAATATTCTTTAATAAACTTGATATTGGGTTATGCACCTAACTCCAGTGTTCACTTTCCTCTTCCTGTAAATTGTGAGTATGATATGAACTCATCTAAATGAACAAAAACAAAGAGATGTTCTTTCAATATTGGGAGACGTATCTACTGCTTTGAAGAGCTAGGTTAACACACAATAGTGACTTACTGATAACATGAATTTTTAAGTGTCAGCAATTTGTTCCCTTGTGCAACTATCAGCACAAATATTAACAACTGATATTTTACTTAAAGCACTGAAGTTCAATATGGTTTGCAGAGCAAAATCAGTGATTAACAAATGATAGGCAATATTGTTTTTAAAATTTGAGTGAGATCATGACCTACTGAGAATTTCCTAGCAAGACTTTTGTACTGGATGCTATGGTACAATGTGTAATCCTAGCTATCTGGGAGCTGAGTCAGAAGGATCCTAAATTCCAGACCAGCCTGGGTAACTTAGTGAAAACTCATCACAAAATAAAAAAGGGCCTTGAACTCACTGTATAGACTAGGCTGGCCTCAAATTCATAGCACTCCTCCTGCCTCAGCCTCTAGAGTGGTGGGATTATAGGTATGTACCACTACACTCTGTTCATTCAAAATCTTTACCTTAGGGACAACTTGGAAATCTGTTTTATATGGCTTTGTGTGACTTAGTGCAAAGTATCTTGGACTAGAAGTCCTAGGAAGTCTAAGACCTAGACTTTTTTTTGGACAAAGGTTGAGATATGATTTTGCACAAGTTGTCTAAGGACTATGTTGTGACCACAGCAAAGCTTTTTTTTTTTTTTTTTTGTCTTTTTGAGACAGGGTCTCGCTGTGCAGTTCATGCTGGCCTTGAGCTCACTTTGTAGCCTAGGCTGGTCTCGAACTTGGAACGATCCTCCTGCCTCAGCTTCCCGGCTTTTTTTTTTTTGAAACCGGGGATTGAACTTGTGACCTCGAGCTTGCCAGGTAGGCACTTATGTCGCTGAGCTAAATACCTGGTCCCTATCTAAGGACTATGAATCTTATATTTCTAATATCTAAAAGAACAAAACAAACCCCATAATCTATTTAACACATTACTGAATTTTTAATTGATCACACATAAGCTTTTTGTGAAAACAAAGTTTTTATTTTTTTTTCATATTTTTAAAATTTTATTTTAACGAAGATAAAGCCAAGTAAAATAAAACCAATAATAAATAAGCCCGTGTAAGTGATACAGGAATTTAAAACCTTAGAAACCAACAATAGTTACATAATGCCTTTTGTTGTCTTCAAAACAGCTGTAGATACTTTAGGACATAGTAAAAATTGAACAGAACAGAGTAGAATGGAGACAATAAAGCCAAAACAATGAATGCAATAAAGGACTTCAAAGCAAGCCACACTAGTGGCTACCATATGTCTTGTTATCTTTCAGATAGCTGCTCCTGCCATCAGATTTAACATAATCAAACGAAACAAAAGAGAATAAAACCCAACTCAACAAAGCAATGAAAATGACATGGTTTCCCAGCTAAGACCACTTCCTGGTGAGGCCTGGATCTCTCCCCCTACGTAGTCCAGGAAGGGTGATAACTTGCTGAAAAAATGAAATTTTTATTGTTTGAGGCAGAAGGATTGTTGCGAGTTCGAGACCAGCCTGGGCTACAAAGTGAGCTCAAGACCAGGCTGAACTGCATAGAGAGACCCTGTCTCGAAAAAATAAATAAAAAGGCAAAAAGACACATAAAGTTTACATACAGTAAACAATTAAGCTTGCCCAAAGAGCTATCTACTTTTTAATTTCAGCTAATGGGAGATTATCTCTAAACCATTGGAGTAGCCTGCTTGATACATATCTTTATTTAGGGCATTTCAGATAATCTACATTAACAGTGTAATTTATTGTGGAAGTGTGTTTAGCTATGTCATATATTTGACCTTTGGAGGACTAGAGACTAAGATCAGCCATAGGAACAGTAAACCATGCCCACATGACTGAGTTTCAAAAACATCTATGACATTAAAATTCAAGTGAATTGCTAGTTGGCAATACTGCATGTGTATTATCACACATTTTTGCTGATGTTAGCACTGTCTGCACCAATCCCCAAGGAAAGGACACCTGAAAGCTCCATGCTTGGAACTTTTTTAGATCCTATGTCACTGGCCTTTTTTTTTAATGGTATCAGGAATCGAACTCAGGACCTTGTGCTTGCTAGGCAGGTTTTTTGCTGCTGAGCCATATCTCTGGCCTCCAACCTCTACTCTTAACTGATTTTATTTTTAATAGAGTACTGGGGAGGCAGCCCAAAGATACTACCACAGGGCTACATCCTAGCGCTTCTTAAAAAAATTTTTTTTTAAATTTAAAGAGATTCTCAATAAGTCACTAAACTGACCAGCCTGGGCTTAAACTTGCAATCCTGCCTCAAACTCTCAGAGTGATGGAATTATTGGCATAGGCTGCAGCATCTGGCTTCTGTGGCTTTATTTAAAATATGTATCTTTTGCAATGTAAATTTAGCAGCTTTCAATGAGTTGAGTCCTTCCTGGAAATTATCAATCCTGAGACTGGTCTTTTTTGGGGACCCCTGAACTCCAGCAGATGTTAGAGGGGAAGGTGAGGTCAAGGATTCATGAATTGTACCATATGTATGCTCTTCATTTCACTTAGGTTGGTGGAACATTACCCCACATAATAGTAGTAGTTGTTTGAGTTGCTAGAAATGTCAAATGGGAAGTATTCAGGCAAAACACAGATAGCTACTTAGCAGAGTGTTTTATAAACACTGAGGTTTTGAAACATGAAAACTTGTCCTACAGTTTTGGAAAGAAGTCTTTAGTAGTTGGACATTCTTAGGCAGAAAAGAGGAAAATAATATTTAGTGGCACTACACATTTGTATGTAGCCTAATCTTTCCAGATGCTTTTAGCTATGAGAGCATTTATCTGCTCAGATCAGATATGTAGATATAGATACAAATACATGAGGAACAAATCTTTTGATTCAATTTCACTCATAGTAATGTATCCTATGGGTATATTTGCACATGTCTGAAATGATGAATATAGACAAGGATATATGTACATAGAATAGCACTGTTCACTGTAGAAAAAATGGAGACAAATTCAGTACCCATCAGTGAGGACTGCAGTATAGCATATTTGATAATATACTATAGTACTAATGCAATGCTAGTCACACATAAAAGAATCAGAATGCTATACGGAATGATCTGTATGTATTATCTATTTCATAAGTAAATACTAAAATGTAAAGAACACAGACCGACATGGACACACATATCTGTAATATCTGTAATTCTAGTACTAGGGAAGCAAGAACATTACCAGGAGTTCAAGGCCAGCCTCGTTTACATGGTGACTTCAAGGCCAGCTTGAACTACACAGTGAGACTCTGCCTCATAAGAAACAAACAAAAATTTAAAGAACACTTGTAAATGCCTTAAATGGAGGTAAATATATTAGAAAAATCGGTATTGACTTTAGGCAACTTTTATGCGCATTATAATAAGCCAATTCAGGAGAAGCAAAATTAAGCAATAGTCGCAAAATTCTATATTACATCCCCTCATAGATCATTCTATTTTTATTTTTAAATGACAACTCACACATACAGTACAGACTTCCACCAGAGGCTTGGTCCTAATTAGGAAGCTACCTATCACGCATGACTTTACGCTCCCTGAACCATCTTCTAACCTCTTCGTACAGCATCTGTTAACAGAGTTGCAGTTTCAAAACCATGTGTAACTATGTGCCCCTAAATGGTGGAACTGTCTTGTACTGCTTGTCGGAAAGCTTTGTATACCGCGAAGGGCTTGGAAAACCTAAGTGGCACTCTTTTTTTTTGTCTTTTTCATTTTTTTTATCGGTACCAGGGATCGAATTCACGATCGCCTGCTTGCAAGGCAGGTGCTTATGCCGCTGAGCTAAATCCCCAGCTCCCTAAGTGGCACTCTTTATCCAGGGAAACCCTGCGTACCACGGACTTCCCCTCACAAAGACCTCTTGCCTTGGTTAGAAGCCCAGCTGTGAGTTTGCTTTCTAGCTGAGTACCTGAACACACGCACCTTTTGATAGGCCTGCAAAACCAAAGCGTCAAGGAGAGTCGCGACCCTATTGGCCAGTAGGCATAGTACGCGCGATGCTTTCTGGGATATGTAGTCTGGTGCTGCTGGAGCCACTGTCTTGAGGGTTTGACCTAAACTTCGGCTCACTGAGCCGACTGCAGCTGTAAACATGGATATTTTTTCTTTTCTTTCCTTCTTTTTTGAGACAAGATTTTGCTGTGTAGTCCAGGTCGGCGTTGAACTTACTGTGTAGTTAGTTCAGGTTGACCTCCAACTCACGGTAATCATCCTGACTATCTCTAGTGTTGGGATTACAGGCATAAACTGCCGCACCCAGCTAAAATGGTTATGTTTGGAAAAGGTGATTTAGGAATGGAATGTTTGGAAAAGGTGATTTGGAAAGGTGATTTAGGATCAAGGTGAAAAAGCCCTAAAGGGTCCAAAGTTTAAGACGAGTGAGGGTTACGGCTCGTAGAAAGACAGGTACACACCTACTTTGAAATGCGCATAGCATTCAGGGTGGGTAGGCGCAAAGATCTACAGTCAATCAGACGCTGGCACCTCTTGCCCACCCCATAAGGCACCGCCTTCACTCCAATCCAAAGGATAGGGAGGAGCTTGAGTTGTTTCAAGGTTTTGGGTAGGGTAAAAAGGTGGTTCCCGGTCGGCTCGGGTGCTTGGGGAGCTGGAGATGGCTGAGTTAGGGAAGGCGGACTGAAGTCTGGACACGCCCTCTGCCTCCATACCTATTGGTAGGCTTCCTAGCCGGGGCGGGGCCGGAATCGGCACTCCCGCCTGCTGCGAGGTTAGGACCTCCGGGATTCCTAGAGAGGACTCGGAAGTACTCTCGGGGGTGGGATTTATGGTTGAATCTTGGGTTTGCTTACTTCCGGCGAGGAAGTGTTGGGAAGTGTTGGCGTCAGTGTTTTCTCCGTTTATAGGAAGAATCCCATCTTCTGTGCTTTAGTTGTGAGGAGTTTTATCTTCCAGGAGAGCTCTCCGACACTAGAAACTTGAAGGGAGAGGGTAGGATTTGTGTCGGAATTGAGTCCAATCCCTAACCTTGACCGGGCCTATCTCTGTCACAGGGTCAGAAATGAATCTGAGGGATCCAGGTTTAAATCTCCTAACTGTAAAAATCCTGCTTCTCTTAGGGACCAATGAAGTTTCCTGTCGGTCTGTCAAGCTGTTGTGACTTGAAGGACAAAGCCCAGTTATGACCATTTTAATGTTTTTCGCCCCTGTTCTGACTTAAGTTTGGATATGATAGCGAGAAGAAGCGATTTCATCTGGATTAGTAGGTTTTGTTCCATTATTTGCGTGAAATGTGAAGTTTGGTACTTACAAAGCGATGTTTTAGATTGGCCTGAGGTCAAATTTTTATGGCTTTTAAAAAATATTTTAAAAAATCTTGGAAGTATTTTGTTAAACATTAATGAGCGGAGGGACGACTGCCTCACAGCGCATGTTTTCCATTAAGTTACTTTGTTTAGTGCTTATCTTTAGTAAAGATGACGTGTTTGTCATCTCTTTGTTAATAATGATTCCTATGTATCAGTAGGCTGTACACTGCTCAAAGTGCTCTTCGGAGGATCTTAAAGAGCAGAAAATAAGTTGGGTTAGAGTAACAGCCAGCCTCAAGAGACCTCCTTCTGAGTTGGAATGATAATGACAGACTCCCGGGAAGTTACAGACTTAGATCCTCCAGTTGAGACTTCACAAGAGCAGGAAGATCTACTAATAGTGAAGGTGGAAGAAGAAGACTGCACCTGGATGCAGGAGTACAATCCACCTCCGTTTGAGACTTTTTATCAGCGGTTCAAGCATTTTCAGTACCATGAAGCATCAGGACCCCGGGAGGCCCTGAGCCAGCTCCGGGTGCTTTGCTGTGAGTGGCTGCGGCCAGAGCTGCACACCAAGGAGCAGATCCTGGAGCTGCTGGTGCTGGAGCAGTTCCTCACCATCCTGCCTGAAGAGTTCCAGGCCTGGGTGAGAGAACACCACCCTGAAAGTGGAGAAGAGGCTGTTGCTGTGATAGAAAGTATACAGAGAGAACTTGAGGAACACAGACAACAGGTGAGTGGAAGAGGAGACAGGAGCATTGAAGGAGAGGAAAGAGTTAAGGAGCTGCTAAGCAGTGGTGAGATTCTAGCCCTCTGGTGCTTCATTTATATTCTTTTGTTCTTCTGGGATTAGGTACACTGTGGAGATTTCCTGCCACTCCAGCAAAGAGAAGCAATATCCAGTGTGTTAACCTGTAGAAGACAATCTGCGATTTTATTTATGTTTAAGATTGTATTTATTTTTGAATGACATGATACAAAATCCAAAAAGGTACATAAGGTTATAATGCAAAGTAAGTTTTCCTCCCACCCCCGATATCCCAACTGCCTAGTTCTCTCTAGAGGCAGCCTTCCTTATGTGGTACTTGTACATCTTTACAGGGATGTACCACATTCATATATGTATTAGCATATATGTTTATGTCATGCTTAAAAAACACAGAAATGTTTTTAAGTCTTTGTGCACTTTCGCCCTGCTCATTCTTACATTTTGTTCCATCTTAGTGCAAATAAAACTGCCTCACTCTTTGCAGCTGCATTATATTTCAGCGTGATTGTACCATCATTTAACTCCTGTTAGTTTTAGTTGTTCCTGCAGATTGTTTCCAGCTGTTTACTATAATAAATTTTGGTAGGTGGGCATAGTGGTCCATGCCTATAATCTCAGCTCCATGGCAGCCTGAGGCAGGAACATCACAAATTCTAACCTAGCCTGAGCAATCTGGCAACCTAACAAGATCCGGTTTCGAAATAAAAAATAAGAAAAGGGTTGGTGAATGTAGCAAAGGCCCTGGGTTTATTCCCAAAAAGCTGCTGTAATGAATATTCTGTGTGTGTTTGTATACACACATACGTGAATTGTAGAACGGATACTCTGAAATCAAACTGTTGGCTTGTCATGGTGGCATAGGCTTATAATCTCAGCATTCAGGAGGCCTGCTGTGAGTTCAAGGCTTAGTTTTGAGACCCAGTCTCAAAAAAAAAGAAATTAATTCATTGGTTCAGAGGTACATTTTCAATTTTGATAGCTGATACATGTTGTCTCCTAAAGAGGTTATCTCAATATACATTCCCATCAGCAAAGTATAAAAGAATTTTTTGTCATGGCCTAATAACATCAATGTTACCAAAAGTTTTCGTCATCAGTGTAGAAGATACAATATTCCATTTCTGTGTCATTTAAAAAAATTTTTATTGTACGTGTTTGCATCTCATGATTCCATTTAGTGTAGAGAACTGGTACATGTACCTAACAAATCTTTTTTTTTTTTTTTTTTGTCTTTCTCATTTTTACCAGTACGGGGGATCGAACTGATGACCTCGACTGCCTCCTTGCAAGGCAGGTGCTTATGCCGCTGAGCTAAATCCTCAGCCCCCATCCTAACAAATCTTAATTCTTCCTTTCCTCCTCTTCCCTCCATCACTCTTTTTTTTGTGTGTGTCTTTTTGAGACAGGGTCTCGCTATGCAGTTCAGGCTGGCCTTGAGCTCACTTTGTAGCCCAGTCTGGTCTCGAACTTGCCACGATCCTCCTGCCTCAGCCTCCCTAGTGCTGGGATTACAGGCATGAGCCACCATGCCCGGCCTCCCTTCATCTCTTGATCCTCTTCCCATTGGCAAAAGACAAAAGATCTTTGTTCATTTCTGTACCATTTCAACATTTGTCTTAAGTTTGACCAGAGCACTTTTTTTTTGGTACCAGGGCTTGAACTCATGACTATGCGCTTGCAAAATAGGCACTTATGCTGCTGAGCTAAATCCCCATCCCACACAGCACATATTTTTAAAGGCTATTTATATATCTTTTTTTGTGTATTTTTAGCAATTTATTTGTATATATTTCTTACCTGTAATTTGTACTTTCTACAATTGTGTCTATTGCGTGATTTGCATGTGTTGTTTTTCTAGTTTGTTGTTTGTCATTGGTTGTGGAGACTTTAAATTTTTATGCCATCTGTTTAACTCTTGATGATTTCTAGATTTCATACCACAGTTCAAAAATTTTTACTATAATATGAAAACATTTTCCTCACAGTTTTTTTCCATTGTATTTTTTAGTGCTGTTTGTTGTTCTTTTTCTTTGGTCTTTTTCTTTTTTATCTGTACCAGGGATCAAACTCATGACTGCCTGCTTGCAAGGTAGGCTCTTATGCCGCTGAGCTAAATCCCCAGCCCCTGTTTGTTGGTCTTTTAAAGGCAGGGCTTCACTATGCAGTTCAGGCTGGCCTTGAACTTACTTGTAGCCCCCGCTGGCCTCGAACTAATAGCGATCCTTCTGCTTCAGCTTCCTGACTTCTGGGATTTCAGACATACCAACCACTACGCCTGGCTAGTGCTTTTAAGTGATAGTTTCATCTGGAATTTATTTTGGTATAAGATATTTAGTGTGGTTGCATTTATTTATTCCTAGATATTTATCTAATTAGCCCAGTAGCATAGTGAATCCTTTTTATCGTCATTGATTTATATGCCACCTTTATCACTTATTTCTGCTTGTATTTTGGGTTCATGTCTGGTCTTTGTATTCTTTTTTATGGATCTTATTGACTGTTTAATATCAATATTTATAATTATTTGAGCTGTGTAAAATGTTTTGATATTTAGTACAGTTACTCTTATTCCCTTCAAAAAGTTTTTTTAGTGTTTTCTTTTGCCCTTGTGAACTTCAGCATTGTTTAGTTTGTACCACTGTAAAAGTTCTATTGATATTGCTGGGATTTCATTAAATCACACATTAATTTAGGGAGGATTCATAACTTTCTTTCACTTCTCATTCTTCCCTATACTTATTTATAAACTGACTTCCTTCTCTTGCTCCTGTGCTAAGGCTCTTCTGATCTTTAGTTGCTTTTGTTTTCTTTTAATTGCAAAGAAACAAAAATTATGGGATCATGAGTTTACAAGACCTTAAAGGTACTGTGGAGTTTTCTTCATTCTTTAGAGCCATTGCATTTAAGTGTGAGGTACTAGTCTCATCATTCCTACCCTCAGAGCTCCAAAAGATCCACTTGGTTGACTTGCAGCCAGACTCTGCTGCTGTCTTGAAAGATTGTCTTACAGATGGGAATGTTTCAATCTTTCTATTGCTTAGTTAGAACAACAAATAAAGGCTCATGGTAAAACACAGTTATTATTATTTTTTAACCTAACATGAGTTACCAAGGGACATTTGCCTACTGTTTTGCAGAATTAAAAATTCAGAAGTTAACATAAAGCCAAAAAGATTCTTAAGATGCAGAACTTATAGCAGATATTACACATGTATCACTCTTCATTATGATATGCACATGACATGTTTTGGAAGGGACACAAAGGAAAATCACTTCTTGTGGCAGTCAGAGCTGTCAGGCCCATCTAGAGGGATTTCCTAAAGATCTTCATAGCTTACTTTTTCCCTTCTGCCTGCCTTCTGGTGACCCCAGCAATGTTGTTTATGCCATCCATAATTCTTCCTGGTTCCTTTGTGTTTGTGTCAGGGAACCTCAAGTGGTGCTTTAGTTCTTTAGAACCTGGGCACCCATTAACATATTGGAACTCTTTGTGTTCTGATCAGGCTCACAGGGACACAGAAACTGTCAGAGTGGTATTTGCCATGAGTATTTTACAGTTGCCTCTTAATATGATACCTGTAGCACTTTTGTGGATACTAGAAGTGTTACATTTTAAAGTGTTTTGAAACCTGAGGAAGGGGGAAAGAAGATAGCAGCTCTAAGTGTAAGATCTTATCTTACCCTGTGCTGGGACTGACATGTTACCCTGCAGAATGGGCATATCTAGAGAGTTTGTAGCAGAGTAATTGTAGCCTGTGGTTGGCAAAGCAGAAAACTAGAGGCTGATAACACTGTGGATATAAACTAGATTGTATGCTAGTGTTTGTCTAAATGTGACTTCCTAGTTGTGTAACAGCCTTTTCAACCTCCTTTCTCATCTTTGCTTTCACTAACCATTATCCACTCTCGCCTTCTTAAGGTTCCTGGATTATACTGAACACACTTTCTGCTTGAGAATTTTGCTAACGTTTTCTTGCCTTGGGTCTCTTCTCTCTACTATACTTTTCCCCTGGCTGGTTTCTTCTGATGCTTTAGGTGTTAATTTAAATGACACTTCCTCAGCAAAACTTTCAGTGGCCTCCCGGTCTAAAGTGGATCTCATCTGTTCTTGTCTCATGGCGCCATGTTTCTTGTAACTTATACCAGTTTGTAAATATGTGTATGTGCATTGCTGTGTTCAGTGAACATCTTTTCCAACTAGAAGTAAAGAATATTTCTTAAACCACTGTATAACAGTTCCTGGCTCATTGTAGATATGCATTAAATATTTGGCAGAGGAACTAATGAAAGTCCAGTGGCTTGTACTGAGTTCTTTCATAACCATCTCTGTAATTGCACTGATTGGTTGTGGTTGTGGTTGTTAGATTGTGGCGTATCCTGAAGTGCTGCCTCAGAAGACAGTGCCACTTGGAGCGGTGCAGGAGGCCTTTGGTCATCAGTTCCTGTCCATGGACACCCAGCTTGAACAAGAGCCACAGAAGCCTCATCTTCTGGAGGAAAATGGTGAGGTGCAGTGGTTCAGCATAACAGATGTGGCTAGAACTGGGTGCTCTGATGCACAGGCAGACAGCATCTGGAACAGAGAGAAGGGAGGCTGGGCAACCTGTCTGAAGGCAGCAGGCTCAGGAGGATGGGAAGGGATGAAAATATGGGATGTTTTCTCTGGTGTGAAAATAGGGGACAGCTTCTAGGCTGGCTGGTAATATAGTACACTTGTATTCAAAAGATATAATGGAGTTGGGCATGGTATACTGTTATTTTTGTTTTGTTTTTGGTACTGGTAATCAAACTTAGGACCTTGTGCTTTCAAGGCAAGCATTGTACCTACCAGTGCCCTATATCCGTGGCTGGAGCTGGGCATGGTGGAGCATGCTTGTGATTCCAGCATTTGGGAGGCTTAGGCAGAAGGGTCACTGTGAGTTTGAGGCCAGCCTGGGTGACATAGTTCAAGTTAGTGAACTACATAGTGAGACTGTGTCTCAGAAAACTGCATACAAACACAAAAGCTTTTATAGAGATTGGGGGTATAGCTCAGTCGTACTTGACATCTGCAAGGCCCTTGATTCAATCATCAGCACCAAAAATCCCCAATGTAACAGATGATTATAATGACAGATTGAGGTATAGGTATTGTTCGGAGATCTACAAAAGTCTCTTACACATCTTTCAAATCTGTTTGCAAGACAGGTGTGGTGGTGCATGCCTGTAATACTAGCACTTGAGAGGCTGAGGTAGGAGGGTCAGTGAGAGTTTGAGGCCAGCCTGGGCAACATAGTGGGTTGAAGACCACCTGAATTGCATAGCAAGACCCTGGCTCAGAAAATAAAATTTAAAAAGTTTTTTTTTTTTTTTAAACAGAAGACGTTTAACAAAAGAAACAACAACAAAATACTCTAAAACAATAGAATATAGAATTTAAAGACAAGATGATAGAAACTTAACAATGGTTGTTATATTACATATTGTTATCTTCAAAAAAAGTTGTTTTGCAGCAGTTTTCCACTGTGTCATAAATGTTATTATCATGATGATTATGTTTAAAGGTACTCTCATTCTTACTTGCATTTATTTCTGGCTATTCAGTCATTCCCTTTGAAATTTTATTTGAAGCAGTTTTCTAACTGACCTTAGAATATTTGCCTGTTCTTTGTTTGTTCCCTCTTTTTTCTCTCTTTTTACTCATCCCCTCTCTTCCTCCCTGTGTCAATTTTATTTACCAGTATTAGATACAACAAGAAAGAACCATGAACAGAGTTTCATATTTATTATGTCATACGTCCACCAATCCACAATCTCTAATCAGAATCCTTTGCTATTAGGATTCTGAGTTTTTACATTAGCAGCAGAGTTGAAGTGACACACGTATTAATATTTGTGTGAGAAAATGTATGCATATTTGTAGTAAGTTGATTTAATAAAAACTTTTTTTTTGAGACAGGTTCTCACTGTAAGATTACAGCTGTAAGCCTGGCCTACATAAAACTTTAAATAGCTTTATATTAATTCAGGTGCAGTCTGGATGTAGTGGCTCACATCTTAATCCCAGCACTTGAGAGGCTGAGACAGGAGGATCACCATGAGTGTGAAACCAGCCAAGGCTACGTAGTAAAGTCAAGGCCAGCCTGATTTACCCTGTCTCAAAAAAAAAAAAAAGGTTAGGTCAGATTTTGCTGTCAGATTAGTTCGATGCCTAGTTTAGTGGGGAAAAAAATCCTTTGGAGCCATGCATAGTAGCATGTATCTATAGTCATAGCTGTTCCAGAGGCTGAGGTGGAAAGATCACCAGAGTCCAGCAGTTTCAGTGCAGCCTGAGCAATGTATGGTGGTGAGATCTTTTGGTTGTGTTGAATGAAAACTAAGCATGTGTCAACAGGCTTGTTTTTTCACCTGATTGAATAATGAAGTGGTGTTTTGGGCAACATATGTAGTATTTTTGAGTAGGGTAAAGTGATGATTTATTTCACTGTTCTGTCATCCTAAATGTTTCCTTTGTTCTTCCATTCTCCTTGCTTTAGTCTTTTGTGGTATTGTTGCAAATACTTAATGGTGATAGTAACACTGAAATAATTCCTAGAATGAAATGGAAAAGTATCTTAAGGTGAGGGAAATTAAGATCATGTAAACCCCAAACTATGTCTTAGATTTGTACATGTGTCCAGTTGATCCTTACAGAATGTCTGTTTGTAAAACAAATTTCCTTTCTGTTCTTTTTTTAATTAGTCAAGTTTATTGATACATTTTAGGTATACATAATGATCACATTCGTTATAGGGCATTTGTATATGTATTTGATATAACTTGATTTTTTATTTTCCCCATTCCCCTAGTCTCTTTTCTTTAACCTCTCTTCCTCTCTCTATTTAAAAAAGCTTTGTTTCCATTTTTTCCTTTCTTCCTTTTTTTTTTTTTTTTGTCTTTTTGTCTTTTTTTGAGATAGGGTCTCGCTATGCAGTTCAGGCTGGCCTTGAGCTCATGTTGTAGCTCAGGCTGGTCTTGAATTTACAACAATCCCCTTACCTCAGCCTGCTGAGTGCTGGGATTACCGGTGTGTACCACCCTACTTTTTGTTCTTGAAAAGGCTTCAAAAATAATAAATATTATACAATACTAACCTTAAAAAATATTTAAACTGGTCATGTTGATGCATACTTGTAATTCCAGAACTCAGGAAGGTGAGACAGGAGGATTGCCACAAGTTCCAGGCCAACCGGTACTAGTGAGTTCAGCTGGTCCCTGCCTCAAAAAACAGAACAAAACAAAACAAAACAATAAAACAGTATAAAACTGTTCAAAAAAAGAAGCTCAAAAACTAAAACAGTGTGCAGTATACTTTGCTGTATACACATAATTCTTACTAGTGGTACACTCCTTGAGCTCATGCAGGCTACTTGAGGGACTGAGGCAGGAAGATTACTTGAATCTGGGATTTTGAAGCTAGCCTGGGCAACATAGCAAGACCATCTCTCCAAAGTAAAATAAATTAACAAAAACCTGTGATTTTTTTTTTCAAAAAGGGCTGAGGATGCAGCTTAGTGTGAAAGCTCTGGGCTCAATCCCTGCTCTCCTCACAGGCAAATTAAAAAGAAAAGGAAAAAAAAGGAGGACTAAGAGTTTGAGTACCTTGTCCAAGGTCATAGCTAATAAGTAACAGGTTGTAACTTAAGCTGTCCGACCCTAAATCTAGACTCCTGACCTATTCTGAGCCGACTCATTCCTTTGCTTTTTCACGATGTTTTCCCGTGTACTAGTGACCAGCTTTCAATCACTCATGCTCCTCCACTCTCCTGGTCTCATCAGGGCCCCGCTTTTCTTCTGTTTGTAGATGTTTCTTGCCTTCTCTGCCCATAAACCAGAACTTAACAAGTTTCTTGATTTCAACAAATGACTTCACACATTTAAGGACCATTCTCTGTGTTTTTCAAATCCCATTTTGACTCTTTGGCCAGTCCTGGTTCAGATTCCTCTGTTTTCATCTTCCATTTCTCACCAGTGTCTTCTCCTTTCTGTGTCACTGGTGATTTCCTGATTCTCATAAGTAAGCAAATCCTAGGAAGAAAGCAGGCCACATATACAGAAAATCATAGCAAGGAAATTGTTGACTTAAAGATTAATACCAGATAAGACTGTCAGGGCACACAGACAGAAAGGTCTGGTATACCATGAATCTGAGACAGAGCCAGTAGAGGTGACAGCAGAGGCTTAGACTGTCTCCAGCCTCCGAGATGGGACCTGCTAGGGTGACCTACGTGCTCTTCCTTCTACCTAGAAAAGCTTGCCATCTCCTTTACCCCACTGCCTAGAGTCATCCTACAAGAAGAGGCCTTGCTTCGTTCCTGCCTCCCTAGCCTCCCCCTCGAGTCTGCAGCTGCTTGTATCCCTGTGTTCCTGTGGAAAGTTAGGAACTTCAGGTCTAGTACTTTTCACACTGTTAAGAGGAACATGGGCTTACATGTCCTTTCCATCAGGGTTTTAGAAGGCAAAAGTAGTTTCATCTGACTAGTCCTGTAATAGAGTAGACCTAATGTGAATATAAACAAACCATTAAAGTTCCTGGAAGGCAGAGACTAGACTGGAGTCTTGCTAATCCAAGTACGGTCTAAGGACCACTTCGCTTGCTCAAGCTTGTTAGAAATGCAAGATTTTAGACCCACCCGAGCCTTCTGAGTCAGAATCTGCTGTGTCTAAGATCCCCACATGAAAGCCCATGAAGCTCTGGACTCTAAGGTATGCTTCATTTTCATGGAAGATGTGACACTGTGTTTGTTCTTAGAGGCCAACAGAGTTGATGCACGCAGAGTGGAATGCAGTGTATACTTTATAGGAGAACGGTCCGGTAGGAATTAGCCTGACCAAAGCAGCAAGTCTGGTTTTGAGGGTTAAGGAGGAATAAGAGGGTAAATTTGGGTGAGAGCCCAACCAGAGGAACGTGGCAGGGGTCACTGTAGGTTTGTGAGCAGAGGAGGCCCATGATATAACACTGAGAAGTAGACAGAGGTATTCTCATTCACTCCTCTTTTTCTCCTCCTTCAGCCCTTCCTGTTCTCCAAGCTCCTTCCCTTCCCCTGGAGGACAGCCAGGAGCTGACAGCTTCACTTCTCTCAGCTGGGTCCCAGGTGAGCTGGCACCCCCTTACCCTCTGTGAGGACCTATACCCCTTCTCTGATACGTAGCTGATTGCTTGTAAATTTTTATTCAGAAGTCTGTTGCTTTGACCAGTGACCAGCCCATCTTGGGTTACTACCTTCATTCCCTTTATCTTTTTCTTTCTGCCCAATACTTCCCACTTCTCTTTGAGGCAAAGTCCTTTTCCACTGATTTCCTGTTGTAATGCTCCCAGTTCTTCCCCTCACTCCAGATTTGTACACAGGGAGTGGGAATTTAGCAGAGATCTCCTGTTTCAGAAGTTGGTGGAAATGGAAGATGTGGCTGATGTGGCTGTGTCCTTCATCCTGGAGGAATGGGGACATGTGGACCAGTCCCAGAAGTCTGTTTATAGGGATGGCAGGAAGGAGAATTATGGGAGTATTGCTTCCCTGGGTAAGAATTATTTCACCTGCATGGATTAGGACATCTTAATTTTGGTATTTGTAAGGAATATTTCTAACACATCCTTTAAAAAAGCATATGTGTTTTAATTGCTATATTTTTGCCATTTTTTCCTATAAGTCAATCTTTTTCTCATTAAATGATTAATAAAGGTATGACTGAAGATTTTTGATATGTAACCCCTTAAATACTTTATTTATTTATTAATTTTTTATTTTATGGTGAAAAGGTAAAACAAAATGCCATAACAAGATGATAGGGGAATAACAATAGTTAATACATTGCATATTATCTTTAAAGTAGTTACTCAGAGTATATGAGCATAGGAAATGTGCTGCCTAGAGCAGTGATAAAAAGCTCAGCATTTCTACAGACATTTTGGAGATTATGCTTTTAGCTTTTTACTCATTCTTATGGAAGAACCACTTCATATCAGGAACAGTGGTGGGCTTCAGGTGAGATACGTACACAATGCCAGATTTCTTTTGAAAAGCATTACAGGAGACAGCATTGTCTCATGGTTTTAGTTCATTCACAGGCTTTTACTTAAAGATGACTCTTATTCTTTTACATTTTACTTGCTATTAGTATTTCTAAGAATTTCCTCATCTCCTCTGTTCATTAATCTGTTGGGATTTTAGGAATATTCTTTTATTTCAGTAAATTATTAATATAATAAGAATGTTATATTTGAGCTGGGCATGGTGTTGCATGTCTGTAATCCCAGTACCTAGGAAGCTGAGAAAGGAGGATTGCTGTGAGTTGAAGGCCAGCCTGGGTTACATAGTGAATTCAAGGCCAGACCATGTCTGGGGGAAAAAAGGTATATTTAATGAAATATTTTCTAGGCTGTCTTCTTTTTAATTTCCTAAACTGCTTTGAGCCTGTTACTATTGTGTGTTTTCAGGTACTACACTTATTGGGACTTGACTTACTGGTTTTAAAGCTGGAGATTTTGGCAAAGTTCTTTCCTGTCACTCTTCCAGCTGTTTTCAATGCTTACCCTCTAATTATTTTTCTCATTATCTTTGTTGCAACATCTTTTCAACTTCAGTCTACTCTTCTACATGGTAACCATGTTCAGTGGTTTCTGCCTCCTTAGGCCACACTTGATCATTTTGTGGCTTGTGGATTTTTAACAGAAGGTTAGAATTTTTAAACATATCCATCATATTTGGAAATGAAATTTTAAAAAAGAAATAAATATCTTGGAGACATGGAGTGGCTGGAATACTGGGGACATGAGACAGTGTCTTAAACTACAAAGGGAAGGGACTTGTGGGTATTCTAGATAAACTTTCAAGAACTTTGTCTGTAAAGGGGAAGAGAGAGCATTGAGCATTGATCTCTGAGAATACATGGGTTGAATGGATAGATTGTTTTCGTATACTTTTTTTTTTTTTAATACAGAGTCTTGCTATACAGGTCAGGCTGGCCTTGAATTCACTGTACAGTCCAGGCTGGCCCGTAGTGATCTTCAGCTTCCTGAGTGCTGGGATTATAGGTGTGCACCACCACACCTGACTGTATACTCCCCCCCCCCTTTTTTTTTAAAGGGGAAAGAGTTTAAGCATTTTTAAATACTACTGGAAAAAGAATTAATGAAGTTGAATATGAAAAAGAGCAAATAAGTGATCTAGGGAGCTCCCTGGAAAGCACAAAGGCATGAGAGATCCAGGGAATAGGAGGCAGGAAGGAGTGTTCTTGGTTAGGAGGACAGGTATGGCTCCTTTGTGAGCAACAGGAGAATGAAAAATAGGCTGCTAGTAAGTTTAAAGATACGGTTATAAGGCTTTCAGGGAGCTCTGGGCTGGTTAGCTTTGACTTTGTATGAAATAGGAAAGGTACTTGTTGAGAGTAAGCAAGTGATTCAATAGATAATAGAGGAAGTAGGAGGTTTAATGTAGTGCAGGGTTTATTGGTGCTGGGGGTTGAACCGATGACCTCATGCTTGAGGCACTTACGTCACTGAGCTAAATCCTTGTCCCCAGAACTGTGACTTTAAAGTGTCATGTACACACGGTAAAAATTCAAATATTCAAATAGTATAAATGGGTATAAAGTGAAAATAAATACCTATCTACCTTGAGTTTCCCCCACAGAGGCAATGAATATTTTTTGTTTCGTTCTTCTTTTTTTCTTTTTCTTTTTTTGGTACTGGGAGCTGAACTCAGGACCTTGCACTTGCCAGTCAGGCCTGAGCTATATCTTAGGGCCCTATTTTTTTTTTATTTATATGTTTTTATTTTGAAGAGAATAAAACCAAATGAGACAAAACAAAATGGGTCAGTCAAAACAAAAGGATGGACATAGTATATGACTTAAAACCGAAATACAAGGTGATCAACAATGGTTACCATAATGCCTCTTGTTATCTTCAAAAGGATTGCCCATATCATCAGGCACAACAAAATTGAACACAACATTACAGAACAAAATAAATAAAAATGAAACATTGGAGACATTATAGGACTTCAAAAGAAGATAATAGTCAAACCAGAATGGTTATAATAATGAATCTTACTGTCTTCAAAGTAGTTGCCTATACTCTCAGACTTGATACTATCAAACGAACAGATTCAAATAAAATCAGTCAAAACAAGACAATGAAAGCAATATAGGGCTTCAAATTAAGTTAATAGGAAATAAAAAATGGTTACTATATCCTGCTATCTTTGGAATAGCTGTCCATGCCATCAAATCTAATACAAGTAGAAAAACTGAAACAGAATATGACCAAACTGAATATGGCGATGAAAACATTATGGGTTTCAAATCATGATACAAGATTAACAATGCCCTTTGTCTTCCCTTTTTAGATAGTTTCTCCCCTTTCACTTTCACAGGGTGCATTGTACATTCTGTTTCCCACTAACTCCTTTAGTTTTTGGATTAGGGAGGCAACCTGCTATTCACCTAAGTGACCCTGAACCTTCTAACCTCTAAGCATGATCTCAAGCTATATCCATTTACCCACAAAAGCCTCAAGGTTTTCCTTCCTTATAGTAGTTCTCCATTGTATAAAAGTGTCATGTCTTTCCAACCAATCTGCAGGTGATGGGCAAGCTACCCCCACTTTTTTCTGGTTCCCTGTTACGTAAAGTATTGTTTGCTCATCTTTGACTTTCAGACTAAACCCTCTTTCAAGTTAACTATATTTCGTATGTAGAGCATCTTGTTGGGCCCTATTTCCTGATCCACTATGCCTATATTTCTTTTTATTACTGTATCAAGGCCATGCGTATTAGTGATTATGGCCAACCTTCTCTGTCTCATCTCTGCCATGCTGTTTTTCTGCCATTGGTTGTCTACTTTTCCCCTTCATTCCACTGTCTTCCCTGTTCAGTGTGCCCCCTCTGCTGAAGTTCTGAAACCATGGTCTTTTTTCTCTCTCTCGAATGTCCTTCAGTGTTTTTTGTAGGGTTAGTTTGGTGGTCATGAACTCCCCCAGTTCGTCTTTGTCATGGAAGTATCTCTTCATTAATTTTGATAGATAGTTTTGCAGAGTACATCAATTTGTATTGGAGGTTATTTTCTTTCAGGACTTGGAAAACATCACTACACGCTTTTCTTGATTTGATGGTTTGTGTTGAGAAATCTGTCATGATTTTGATGGGTTTTCCTTTATAGATGATCTGTTTCTTTGACAGCTTTTAATATTCTGTTCTTGTGTTCAATTTCTGGGATCTTGATTATTATATGTCTGACTGTAGATCTATTTTGGTTATAGCTGGCTGGAGTTCTGTATGCCTCATTTATCTGAATATCATTTTCTTTTCCTATGCTTGGGAAGTTTTCATTAATTATTTCTGTAAATAGCCTTGTATTTCATTTGTGTTTACCTCTGCTTCTTCACTCACATTTTTTATTCTTAAGTTATAGATCCTCTTGTAATCTTCTAACCTTTGTATTATTACTTCCTGGTTCCTTGTTATTTTTAAGAGATCTTTGCTTTTGAGATCGCAAGTTACAAAGTTGTCTTCAAGGTTTGATAGTCTATCTTTGGTTTCTTTCAAGCAGTTTTGGCAGCTTTCAGTGGAGTTTTTAAATTTCCTGGTGATCTCTTTGAATCTGTTTTATGTATTCTGAATTTTTTTATATTCTTCATTAAAGATTTCCCTTCTTTTTCTGTGCTCCTCTATTCTTCCATCTGTGTTTTCTTTAGAGGTACTTAGCATTTCTTTTATTGTGTTTCTTATCTCTTCCTTTATTTGTAGTAGTATTTCTGTTTTAAGTTCTTTTGTAGTTTCATGAAATTGTTTCTTTATGTCATTTGCTGTTACTTCATAAACTGAGGTGTGTGACTCCCAATCTCTTCTGTGTTTATCTCTTCTGGACCAGTACTTGGGTTGGAGGCCAGAGACTGCCTTTTGTTTCTTCTTGTCATGTTCCTGGTTTCTCTCATACAAGTGGATAGTGGGGTCCCTGGCACTTCCTGTATTGATTATAATTACTCTAAAGCATGCTGGCTAGGGATTTCTGCTTTTTGCTGCTTTCCCCAATCTGCTGGTGACTACTGGAGTATAAGCAAGGGCAGGACAGGCTGGCCTCTCCCTTCTGAGCTGGTTAACCACAGAGAGTCTTCATGTTAGTGTGTGCTGCGCAGGCGGTGTTGGTTAGGGATAGTTTTAGGGAAACCTTGGCCTTGGCTATTGGACCACGCACAGGGGCAGGACTCAGTCCAAGCAATTGTCACTAATCTGCTCTGCGCTAGGAGTGGCTGAATGAAGCCAGCTGCAGTTCTGGTTCTGGGCTTATCCTGCCTGATCCAAAATGGTGCCTGGCCAATTGCCCACTCCTGCAGAGGACTGAGTCCCCCACATTCACCACTAGCCAGTGCAGTTTTCCAGTCCGCTGCTCCCATCCACTACTGCATCTCCTCACCAAGGCCTTGGGCTTGCCAGCCACCTGTTTCTTTGTGACTCTGTATCTTTGGATTCCAGTGGTGCTTCTTGTACAGTGGGACTGGCTCCAGTGAAAGCACCTTTGGCTACTGCCTTCTGTTTAAGTTTTTCTTTTCTTTTTTTTTTTTTTAAATTCTCTCTGTGGGCTTCAGTTCTCACTTTAGTTTCTCCCTGGGTTGAGGGGTCCCATTTTTTCCTTCTGATCTTCTGCAGAATGTTATATTCCAGCATCTGGCCTCTTTCTCTCAGAAAGGCTGTTTACTCTGCTGCTTACTGTTCCACCATCTTCCCAGAACGCCCTATTTGTTTCTTGAGATAGAGTCTGGCTATATAGTTTATGCTTACCTTGAACTTACTATGTGGCACAGGCTGGCCTTGAACTCATGGAAATCCTCCTGCCTCAGTCTCCTGAATGCTAGATGTGCAGGTGTATGTCACCACACCCAACAAGGCAGTGATTACCAGGGATGTTGATTGTATGTCTAAATGTGTTTGTTTGCTTTGTGGTACTGGAGATCAAACCTAGTGCCTCCATACTAAGCTACATGTTCCCCTTTCCCCCTTTTAATTTTGCTAGTTTCTATAGTTGCCCATGCTGGACTTGAACTTGGGATCCTTCTGCCTCACAGAGTACTTTGATTATAGGTGTATGCTACCCTTCCCAACCTTAGACATGTTCTTCATGTATGTAAAGTTCATGAAAAACTGATAGTATACCATATATATTAGTCCATTGAAAAAATACAGTGATGGAAATATTTTGATATAGCTCTGAAAAAAAATGAATAAGAAAAAGAGCCAAAGTTAGAAAACAAGCTAGCAGTCATGAAGTTGAAGGTCATCATTTTGAAATGTGATTGACCATTTTTGTACCCTTTACTCCCTGCATTTGCTCAGCAGCCTGATATAGCATTGAGCAAGATGGCAATGAGTCAAATATTCAGATAAACCAAGGGTCTTTCAGAAAGCCTACCATTTATACTATGGAAAGGCGAGGGAAGAGACAGAAAGACAGTCTATAAACAGACTGATATCACAATATGTGTAGCCCCTGTCCTTGGAAAAGGACAGCTGTTAATACCAGAGAGGTATATAGAGCTCTGACATTTTTTGAATTTGTCCCTGGAAAAAGAAAGACATATGCTTGTTTGACTTGTTATGAAGCGTATGAGGACAGGTGAATATGAACAAAAGAGAGACACAAAGGGTGATTGAAAACTATGATGAATGTTTAAGTTTAAAAAACTTTATTATATGTTGCCAAGAAAGATGGATTGTGTTTGAAGTGAGGGAGAATCTTTGAGTATTTTGAGAGGAACTAATGACAGTATGTCTTGGTTTTATAGTAGGTTTTTTGTTTGTTTGTGCATATACTAGTTTCCATTGCTAGAATGTAGAAAAACATAAAGTAAAAATGGCTCTGTGGCAAATTAAACTTGTCTGCATGAAGGGATGGGGATGTAGGCAAGTTGTGGAGCATGTTCTTTGCATGCATGAGGTCTGGTTCAATCCCAGCACCACAAAGTAAAAACCAAAATTGTCTTCATGGTACAATAATTATAACTTAGGACTGTATCAAAAAAGGATGAAATAACACCTACCTCAACAGGTCATTCTGAGGATTATGTATGTCATAAAATTGTGAAGCAGTTGGCATAATGCTTGACCCAGAGTAAGCACCTTGCAAATGTTACTTTTTATTACCATTATTATGTGTAGAAAATTCTTTTTTTTGTTTTTGTTTTTTGTTTTGTGGTGTTGTGGCTTTCACCCAGGTTCTTCTGTTTGCCTGGCAAGACCTGTACCACTTAGTTACATCCCTGACCCTTTTTTAAAATTTTATTTTGTGACAGGGTCTCATTAAGTTGCCTAGTCTGATCTCAAACTTGGGGTCTGCTTGACCCAGCCTCCCAAGGAGCTGTGATTATAGACGTATGCCACAAGATGCAGCAGAGAAGTTTTACTACGAAATTGTCCAGCATTTATAAAGCCCTAGTATCTATAACATTTTAAAAATAATATTGCCTATTATTTGCTAATTACTGAAGATTTTTCTCTGCAAACACTAATTAAACTTTAGTGCTTTGAGTAAAATATCAGTTGCTAATATTTGAGCCAATAGTTGTATAAGGGAACTAATCGCAGGTATTTAAAAATTCATCTATTGATAAGTCACTACTGTATGTTAATGTAGGTCTTTGAAGCAGTAGGTACCTTTCTCAGTATTGCAAAAATATCTTTTTTTTTTTTTCTTTCTTCATTTAGTCATTTTCGTACCATACTCACATCCTTTGGGGACTGGAAAACTAGAAAGATCATCTTTCTTACAGGAAGAGAAAAGTGAATGCTGGAGTTATTTGCATAATCCAATGTCAATTATTTTAAAGAAAATTTTACTTATGGGCTGGGGATGTGTATCAGTGGTGGAACACTTGCCAAGCATGCACAAGTTCCTGGATTTAATTTCCGGGGGGAAAAAAAGAAAAGAGAAAAGAAGGATAAATATCTTATATAGTAACATACATGTGTTCGCAAACAGATCTTGTCTTTATGTATTATAGCAAGAGAACCAGGTACTCTCTTCATTAAGTGGAATGACTGCTCTTCAGTTGCATTTCTTTGGTCCATTCTTGTCAGTGTTTCTTTCTCTGCCCTGCTTACTTTTCTGCATAGTATTTATTCTATCCTCCTTTTCAAGTCATTTTTACAAAGTCATGCATTCTAGCACACACTGGGTTCATTTAATTATCCTGTATCTATTATCTCTTCTAATGCAGGAAATAGCTAATTTCCCCATTTTTCTTCTCTTATTTCAGATTGTGAATCCAAAGACAATAATGTGGATCTCATAGTGAAGCAGATTTCCAATGAAGCCAGTTCACCCCACTCACACTGGGTGGCAGCAGGAAGCACGCAAAAAGATATACCCCAGAGTCAAGGGTTTGCTGAAGTTAGTGACCTAAAGGGCATGATACAGAGGTGGCAGGTAAACCCCACCGTCGGAAAACCAAGGCAGAACCCTTCACGGAAGAGGAATCTCTCCCCTAGCACAGACATTAACCGTAAGCAGAGCACAAATGGTGAGAGAGGGCACAGATGTAACGACTGTGGGAAATTTTTCCTTCAAGCCTCCAACTTTATTCAGCACCGGCGAATCCACACTGGAGAAAAACCATTTCAGTGCAGCGAATGTGGGAAGAGCTATAATCAGCGGGTGCACCTCACTCAGCACCAGAGAGTCCATACGGGGGAGAAGCCCTACAAGTGCCAGGTGTGCGGCAAAGCTTTCCGGGTGAGCTCTCACCTCGTGCAGCACCACAGCGTCCACAGCGGGGAGAGGCCCTACGGGTGCAAGGAGTGCGGGAAGCGCTTTGGTCGCCAGTCACACCTGATCGAGCACCTGAAACGGCACTTCCGGGAGAAGTCCCAAAGATGTACGTGGAGGGGTTTGTATTTGGGAATTACACGAAGGCAAAATTCTGTTTTATTAGCTTAGTGGCGCAGGACAGATAGATTGTAATAGTGGGAAGAGGAAGACCAGAATTTATTTTATTCTTATTTATACTTAATTGTGAAATTAATAGACAAAACCCAGTGTCTCTGTGTCCCCTGGGCGTCCCCCTCCCCCCGTACTTGCTTTCACTTACCTGTTTCTTTTGGTAATTCCATATTTTAACCTAACACTGCTATTGCTTGACTCATACATTTCAGACGTTCTTTTTTGAGGTACTGAGGATTGAACCCAGAGTCTTTACACAGAACTACATCCCTCACCATTTGTATTCTTAGTTTAAGACTGGATCTGGCCAAATTACTAAATTGCTCAGGTTGGGATTGAATTTGTGATCCTTCTGCTCAGCATCCCTGTATGCTACAATTAGCACACTGTACCACTGTGCTCAGTTTTATGTAGACTTTATATATATATGACAGATGCTCCCTTACCAGCATCTTTGTTTCCTGTTCTCTTAATTTAGTTATTTCTTTTATTTTAAAATGATAATGGTGGTACATCAAGTTTGGAAGAAAGATAGGAAGAAATAAGCCACCCAGCATCCTACCATCCTAAGGAACAGAGCTATCATTATTTAGTATGTTTTCTGATATCTTTTTAATAAACCTATGTCACATAGTTGTACCCATAGAGTACAGTTAAGTATGACCTAATATAGTTTCCAGTGTTGCTCAGTCTTCCTGTTGGTTATTTTGGACAACTTCCCATCTTTAGTGACACTGTGGTTTACTTATCTATACTCAATTGTTCTTTGGTTGTTTAATTACAATATTTTTATCTGTTGTTATGATAATTATGTTACCCATATATATTTTTCTATATTTAGGATTATTTCCTTATATTAGATACCAGGTGTGGGATTCATAGATAAAAAAAGAAATATTTTTATGACTTGATACATATTGTCACATTGCTTTTTTTAAACAATTGCACTACATATGAATGTATCCCTTTTAATAAAATTTTGTTAGGGTTATTAAAATTTTTTAACCATTGTGCAAACAGAATTTGTTTTTGTGTTCATTTTCATTAATTTGTTAATGAGTAAGATTTAGTAAATTTCCTGTTTATTTTGTAAAAATCTTTTCAAATGACATTAAATATGAATGAGATCAACATAAACTTAACTAAATTTTAAGGCTTTTTTATTAATATTCTTTAATTAATGCTCTAAGACTGGCCAGAGTTTTTTTTATTAAATTTAATTTAGTTAACTTATGGTATGAGTATTGAACCTACGCTCTTAACTCTGAGCTGCCTACCCCTTTGAGACAGTCTTGGCTAAGTCATTAGTCTGCACTCAAATTTGTAATCCTTTTACCTCAGCCTCTCAGACTGCTGAGATTACGTGTGTGAGCACCACCTGTTTTTATTTTTAAATTTTTAAATCTATCTTCTTGAGGTCCTCAAGCTCAGCTACTTGTGATTCACATTACCAGTCACTGCATGTGTTCTTTCATGGTATAGATAGTTACAGAAGTTTGTAATGTTTTTAGAGTTTTATATTAAGCTGAGCTTTCTCCTTAGCCAGTTTTATCCCATTCTCCTTGGTGACTACCCAGTTTGGGAAGACCATCTGGTAGCCCTCTGGACTTGAAAAGCAGTTGCTTCTCAAGTATCTTTCAGATTCTGCTTGTAGTTGTTCCTCAGACTTATTCCCTAATCATTACTCTGACCCTCCCCTTACTCTTTTGGGCCAAAGGAGGAATGCTGATTTTTTCATCCAGCTACTTTTGAGAGCCTCTCATGCTAGGTACTCAGGATCTGGCAGGAAAATAGAGAACAGATCCTGTTGGGATTCTCACGGCGGTGTGGTCTGGTGGGATATTAAAGATGAATGAAGTATGCCTGATGTGGTGGTGCATGCTTGTGACCCCAGCATTTGGGAGGCTGAGGCAGGCCAGCCTTGAGCTATATAAATGAGTCCAAGACCAGTCCGAACTACCTAGTAGACCCTGTCTCAACAAAACAAAACAAAACAAAACAAAACAAAATAAAAATGAGAGAAACGTAAGTTTCCATATGAAGGAAGTAGAAGCCAGAGGGTCAGCCCAGGTTACGAGGGCAGGTATTAATTTATCATCTGCTATCTTGATATTTTTTGAAGTCTTCTTTTTGTTTCATGGCTTCTTAGGAATATTTTCCTAATTCTAAACACTTGTATAGTCTTTTGTTTTTTATTCTAGTCTTTGTTAGTTCTCACCATCCAGTTATGTTTCTGTTCTGCCTCATTCAGTGTGCCTAACTCCTCATTTTAGGTAGTAAATCTCTCCTCATTTCTGTCTTTCATCCCATTTCAGAATTCCTTTCACTCCTTCCATACACTTTTTTGGCTTACCCTATCCTAACCTCACCGAGGTTATTACCTAAGCTTAGTCATTCCTACTACCTATTAGATAAATCTCTTTTTTTGTCTTGTTCTTTTTACTGGACAAATATCAATTTTTTCTTTTTATTCCTTTTGGTCTCAAACATTCCCCTTTGTTACTTCTGTTATAATTTCATTTAATCATTCTCTTCTCCCCATCCCAACAGTTTATTTTTCTTTCAAAATAACTGATGATATTTGCATTTTTATTCTTTTTTAGGCAGCGACAAAAGAAATAGGAATACAAAATTGAATGTTAAGAACAAAATTTCAGAATTTTCAGAAGCAGACATGGAAGTATCAGGAAAAATCCAAAGGAATTCTTCTGAAGTTCAAGGTTCTGGAGAAGGCTATGAACAGCAAGGCAAAGCTGATAGAAAGCAAGGAATTCCTATGAAGGAGATACTAGGACAGCCCTCTTCAAAGAGGATGAGTTGCAGTGAGATCACTTATATCCACAAGAAACCCTCCACAGGAGAGAGACCACATAAATGTAATGAATGTGGAAAAAGCTTTATTCAGAGTGCACATCTTATTCAACATCAACGAATTCACACTGGGGAGAAGCCATTTCGGTGTGATGAGTGTGGGAAAAGCTACAACCAACGTGTGCACCTCACTCAGCATCAACGAGTTCACACAGGTGAAAAACCCTACCCTTGTCATTTATGTGGGAAATCCTTTAGAGTGAGGTCCCATCTTGTTCAGCATCAGAGTGTGCACAGTGGGGAGAGGCCCTTTAAGTGTAACGAATGTGGGAAAGGCTTTGGAAGACGTTCACACCTTGCTGGACATCTGCGACTCCACTCCCGTGAGAAGTCCCATCAGTGCCATGAATGTGGAGAAATCTTTTTTCAGTATGTCAGCCTAGTTGAACATCAGGTGCTCCATGTGGGTCAGAAAAATGAGAAAAACAGCATTTGTGAAGAAGCGTACAGTTGGAACTTGGCTGTGATTGAAGACAAAAAGATTGAGTTACAAGAGCAGCCATATAAATGTGACATATGTGGAAAAGCCTTTAATTACAGTTCAGACCTTATTCAACATTATAGAACTCACACTGCAGAGAAAAACCATAGATGCGATATATGTAGAGGAAATGTTGGCCAGTGTTCCCACATAAAAGAGCATCAAAAAATCTGTCCCAGTATAAAACCCTATCAGTGTAATGAATGTGAAAGAGGCTTCACTCTGAAATCACATCTTAATCAACATCAGAGAATCCATACTGGTGAGAAACCTTTTCAGTGTAAAGAATGTGGAATGCGTTTCAGCTGGAGTTGTAGCCTCTTTAAGCATCTGAGAAGCCATGAGAGGACAGATCCCATAAATGCCTTATGTGTATAGGGTTTCTATTAAAAAACAGCCCAATATTAAAGAAGCCTTCCTAAAGAGAGACCTTATTCCAGTAATGAGTGTAATAACAATATGAAGCATTTTTCCAACTTAACCATTAAATCTACAAATGCATTGAATTCTTTCCGTTAGAACTCAGCCTGGGGGCTGGGGATTTAACTCAGCGGCATAAGCGCCTTCCTTGCAAGCAGGCAGTCGTGAGTTCGATCCCTGGTACCGATAAAAAGGAAAAAGACAAAAAAAAAAAAAAAAAAAAAAAAGAACTCAGCCTGAAGGAACACTGGAGCACCCACAATAAGTAAATACCAGTTTGTATTACTTTTTAGAAGTGCTTTGGGTAGCATCTTTATGCTTAGCTGGATATGGCAGATGAAGGAAAGCCTTCAGATGACACTCATTCTTTATTAGAATCTCAGAAAACTGCCACTGGGAAAAGCCTCATGAATGCAGTAGAAATATGCTTTATTTGTAGAGTTTGCCTTGTTTGACAGCATATTGATTCAGGGAAGAGTACAGTGAAAGAACTCTTCAGCATGACACCTGTTTTGGTACCTCAGCAATGAACTTTTTCTAGAAACTATTATGCCAACCACTAGAATACTCCAATCATTGTTCCCATCGAAGTATTAAACCTTTTGAAAAGAAATTGACTTAGGCATCTATATTTTGATAAAATTGGGTTCAGAACCTGGATGAGATGTGTTTCTACTGTCTAATCCAAGCTACAAATTATCCATGAAATATTCTATCTTATTTTCATTTTGATTATATTAGTTACAGGGTTATCCAGTAAAAAGTTAAATTTGTAAATCTTTGAGAAATTGTAGTCTTAATCAAATACTATTAAGGTGTGTAAGACCTTAGGGAGATACAGAAAAAGGTGAAACTGGAGGCTGGTTTATTTTGTAGTACACACAAATCCATAGAATGAATTGGACTATGTTGAATTAGAATTTGAGGTAACTACCTCAAAATCCAGTGTGTGTGGGTGTGGGTGTGTGAGTGTGTTTGTGTGGTACTAGGATTGAACACAGGGCTTTCCCAATGAGTTACACTTCGGCTTTAAAAAAAAATTTTTTTTTTCCAATTGGGTCTTGCTAAGTTACCCAGGCTACGTCAGAATTTGCAGTCCTCCTGCCTCAGGTTCCCAGACTTCTATAATTATAGGTGTGTGCCACTGTACCTAGCTTGAATTTAATATCTTAACTAATTAATTTACTTACTATTGGGACAAAGTCTTGCTGTGTAGTTTAGGCTGGCCTTGAAGCTTAGGCTGCTTTGAATTTGTGGCAAATCTTCTGCCTCAGTCTCCTGAGTGCTGGGACTATAGGTATGTGCCATCACACCCAGATAGATATTTTAATCTAAGCAGTATGTCCACCAGTTCCCAAGTTCCCTGAGGAGTATGTCCACCAGTTCCATGAGGAGAGGCCTCATGTGTAGGTTGATGGTATATAGGATTGAGTCTTGGTTTATGTTGCAAGTAGAATTGAAAAACTAACAAGGAAGTGATGTGAATGTGGTCTAGTACCACCTGCCATTTGGGAAGGTTTTGGTAGGAATTTTGCAAGGGAAAGATAACAGATAAGAGAACTGACTCAAGCATGTTTGCTACAGAGAATGAGAGCACTTCAAGGATGCTACTGAAGTTCTGTGTCTGCTTTTGGTGCCCATGTTGATTGTGTGGTTCATGGTGTTGCCCACTTTAGCCTCCATTACCAAGTTGGTATTGCCCATCCCTCAGAGACTCTTGTGTTTGTCTGCTAAGTGCACCCAGCTGTATTACTACAGTAATTAGGGTTTTTTTTTTTTTTTTTTAGAAGATGGGAGCTGCCTTAATCCAATTTTCTCCTCTGTGTCCCCATCCAGTGACTTAGACATGATTGACAGGGAAAAAAAGCTGATTCACTTATCTTGAAGGGAAAAACTGGTGTGGTTTGTGTCCTAGAACCCGCTGGGGATCAGGCCAAAGCTAGATATAATCTGAGCTACATCCAAGCTTTTCCTTTCGTTGTTGTCTTTCATACCCTCCCTCAAAGGCTTTTCCTGAGGAGCACACTCAACAAAGCTATGTGGCTCTGAGTCCCTTTCTAAGGTTCTACTCTGGAGAACCTCACATAAGACATTTGGTGCCGTGAGTGGTCCTGAGAGCTGACTATGAGTGGCTTGTGGAGTTGGTCACTCACCGTCGGACCATGAGAGCCCCATCACTGGTAGGGAGTAGAATATTGCTAGTCTTGTCATATAATACCAATGCAATCACTGAGGTACTGACTTGTGAACTGGGATGGAACACAAGTGGAAAGGATGAATTGATTTATGTAAGGTTTGGGACAAACAAGAATATAATATAAGGACTGCAGGATCAGTGTTTCTGCTGAAAGCCACTGACTTCTTCCAGATAGAAGATGACAGAGTAAATAGCCACTGAATTAATGAAAAGTGTAGAGACCTTTATCTACAGACATAATCACACATCTAAAGTAAAGACATAAGATTTAACTGAGGATGACTGAACTTTACAAAAGCCTGATTTCATAACCACGGTGGCTGTAGTCAAAGTTGGCTCTGATAGGTAGAAAAGACAGGACTATATGAATAACCATGCTTGAGTACTTTTGAATCCCTTGATTCCCTTGAACTCATCCTGTGTAACTGGCCCATTTGTTGGAAAATAGCAGCTTTCACTTATTGAAACTGTGGATGCCTTGAATGAAACAGGTGATGTATAAGATAATGCTGACCCTCTGAACCTGCTCCCACCTTCCTACCCATCCATCAGACATGTTAGGAGGACCAAGTTTTACCATAATCCAACTTTGCAAGTGCTAGGCCTGCTAAGGTATTACAGTGATTTTATGCTGAAAGAGTTTCAGGTCTTGGTTAGAATATACCGGTAGGGCTTGTGACCTGGAGGTGCTGTCGGGGACTTACTTAAAGTTGGAAATCTTGACAACATGAGGCACCCTGTGACAGAATTTAACCAAATGACAACTGGGAAATGAGATTAACATACTTTTGGCATGATTCTTGAAAGGTTAGGAAAACCAGGTATAGTGTCATATCCCTGTGTATGATCCAGGCTCCTCTGGATACTAAGGCAGGATTGCTGAAACCCTGGAGCTTAGGAAAAGTTTAGGAAAGACAAGGCTGATATTAAATGATGTAGAGATGCCAGAACTGCTGGAGGAAGGCTGGATCAAAAAGTTCATAAATAGACAAACTGAGTTATATAGGACCAAACAAGCTATGGTTCTTAGGAGGGTCTGGAGAATGTTTTACCAAGGTAGTAAGGACTACATTGGTTGGGATGGGAGAATAGCATCACTAAAAATCTTATTGGCTGTCCTCATTTGCTGGACTGGTAGTAAGAGATTCTCTTAAACAATTGGGCTTCTGGGTAGCAAAAGATGATAGATCCTGGAATAGCAGAATCTAGCTAGCAGAGTATAACTATCAGTAGCGAAGTAGATACAGTTTGCTATGATTGGTAACTGCCTGAATGTATGCATCAGAGGCTGAACTTAGGGATTTACAAAAATTTCTGATAGATTTAATATAGTTAATCAGAAGAATGAATGAACAGAAGTCTGGAGCCAACCATCCCAATGAGAAATTACAATCCAGTGTTCAAGAGCCAATTGACTAAAAGTGAATTTATTTGCTTTGAGGAAAGATCATACAATGTGATGGAAAGTACATATAGAGTGATTTCCCCATTTATTCTAAAGAGACTCATGGCCACTTACTGAGGTCATTCTATATTAGAAACAAATACCTAAGACTCCTTTCTTCTCCTCACAGAACCATATGGGAGTCAGGTAAGTGGAATCTTAATCCAGGTCTATACTCCTTTGGATTCACTGGGTGTATGGACTCACTTAGTGGTCATGTTCATGGTTCCTCAGTGTGTGATTGGAAGGGACATAGCTTACTTGGTAGAACCCTCACCTAGGTTTCTTTACTTGTAGATTGAGATCTATTGTAGAAGAGAAATGTTTTAGTTGTCATCTTCATGCCTGGAAATGTACACTGGACAGAGAGGCTATGAAACTAGTGAAATATGGTGGGAACTCCTGGAAATATGCCAGCCCAGTCACAGTAGTTAAGAAGGGTATTATTTTTTTGAGAGTGGCAGAGATTGGGGTATCCTTACATATTTAATAGATACAGAAGTAATAGCCTTTTTCATATATATATATATATATATATATATATATATTTATTTCACCAATCTGGATGCTATAGAACTAAGACCATGAATCATGGCAGATAACAGTGGACTACTACAAACTTGGCCAAGTAGTAGTCCCAATTAAGCTGCTGCATTATGTGAGGTGACCTGCACCTTCCACCCAGGAGGCTAGATTCCCCATCAGTCCTTTTATTTCTTTTTTCTTAGTGAGAACCAATTATAGAACTTGGTCTTTTTCCCACTCTGAAGAGGAGCTTAAGTTCTTTGCTTTATAGAGGACAAGTTAGAGAGCCACCAAGGTGAGACCTTGAGGGTTCCTAGAGAACCCTCAAGGTGGGTGGCAGTCCATTGAGGAAGACTGGACAGTGATGCACTGGCAGTGAGTGGGTTCTCTAGTCAGTATGTTTTGAGGGTTAAATATTAATGCTCTTTTCATCTATCTACTGTGCCTACCCTGAGCTCTGGATTATGGTCAGGGAGAGGTGGTGAAGGACTGTGGGGCTTTGAGATTCTTACTTACTGCTCCTGGCATCCAGCCCCAGTGGAATGTGGCAAGATGACCCTCTTCCTTGTGTCGTTCCCCCCTAGAAAGCTGCCCAGCCCAGCCCAGCTTTGTTCTTTTGCTTTAAGACAAAGCAAAGATGTTAGCAGTTTTCTGTCTTTGTGGAAAACTTATGGACATGACTTCACCAGAAATGTTGATTTGAAGTTGCCAAATCTCTGAATAGTAGGACTGTTAAGACACTCCTTCAAGTCAGAATGATGTAAGAAGGAAGAAAATGATGAAATAGACTTGAATTCTAGGCAGCAGATACCTGCAGAGATGTCAGAAATATAGCAGATAATAAGGGTTATTCAAGGATGAATAACAAAATTAAAAAACGTGTGTTTTGGAATTTGTCAATGATTTTACTTCTTTACAAGGTATCTCATTCTTAGTGCCTCTGGTATTGATAGAATGATGAGCATGATAAATCACGAGTCTGATGCAATGTGGCAACTGCTTTGTTGTGTGCCTGCTTAGAAAATTACAATATGGTATGTATCACTGATACAGACCAGAAGAGCACATGACTAGCTAGCCCAAGCCCATCACTAGGTCTAGATAAATAAACTTAAACACTAGGGGAATAGGAAAATCTTGTTTATAAGAGAAACAAAAACTAGTTGGGCATTGTGACACATGCCTGTAATCCCAGCACTCAGGAGGCTGTGAGCGGGAGGATTGGGGCAAGTTCTAGGCCAGCCTGGCCTGCACAGAGAAAGTGAGACCCTGTCTCAAAAAATGGAAAAAAGAAGTTTTGTATCTGTGCTAAAGACTTTTTACATGTTAATATGTATTTATTACAAAATTTGTAATGTATCTGAACATTGGAAAGGCTAATCAGTTGTTCATGATTAGGTAGGAAAAGTTCATGTCAGGACTGAAACTCTGGTATGCTTAACTTTGAGCTTGAATTATTTCTCCACAGTTTGTCTTTGGTATAAGCATTTATGCTTTATGCTTATATAGTGTTTTTAATTTCCAAAGCATTGTGCTATGATCTTAAGGAACTGTCCACAAAAAGTAATTATAGTCCCCATCTTATAGGTGAAGAAATAAGAGGCACAGAGATATAGTGTATTATGACTTAATAATAACTATCTCTTGAAATGAATCCAAGCATCTCAGCTTTACTGAGGCCTAGCGTAGATAATGCTCTGCACCAAATGTGTCTGGTTTTTCATAGCCTTTTCTGTCTCACCGGCAGCAAATTACCAGAGCTCCTATCCCCATTCCAGCATGTTTCCAGGTAAGCACTTTATCACCGAGCTCTAACACGTGCTCTGTACTGAAACATGCAAACTCATTTCTGCTATGATTCTCAATATAGTTCATTGAAATTTTGTCTCAAGTATTTTAAGATGGAGGAAATGAAATCTTGGTTTTGCATATCTGGGTCAAAATTCTAAAAGATGAAGAGAAAGAAAACATTCTTTGAAGCAGTCCCTCATAGTGGCAAGATGAATCAAGATGAAGGGACTTCAATTAGAGGTAAAACTGGAAGATCCAGGGCTTCAGTCAGGGGTACAGCTGTTTCTCCTTGACTTTGAGAGGCCCAGGAGTACTTTCCTGCTCCAAGTCAGGGTTGGTGATGGTAGAAACCACTGGTTTCAGTTTATATTTCTCAAATGATCTCAGTACTCGGTCCTCTTTTGACCTCAGACTGACTCCTCTACTGATTTGTATGTTTAAAAAAATCTTTTGTTTTTCTTTTTTGAGTCAGTGTCTTGCTACGCTGTTCAGGCTGGCCTTGAGCTCACTTTGTAGCCCCCTGGTCTTGAAACAATGATCCTCCTGCCTCAGCCTCTTAAGTGCTGTGATTACAGGTGTGACCCATCACACCAGGCTTTGTATGTAAAATTTTGATAGCTCTTGCTCTGAATTTTATTTTTATGGTGCTGGAGATTGAACTCAAAACGTTGCTTATGCTAGGGAGTGCTCCACTAATGGACTATTGCCAGTCCCTAAAATACAATTTTTAATGCTTTCCTATCATTTCAACTAGGGCTTTCATCAAGAATAAAGGCTATTTTTTGCTTTCATTATTACCCTTAAGTCACATAATATATGTAGTTCATTGCAACCAGTAGTATTTGTTCTCATGGATACAGTAGCAACATTTTCTTCTTATTTGTATAAAGTTCAATAAAATCATTAAGGGCCTGGTAATTCAATTCTCAGCAGGTCATGTTTTATAAATTAAGAGATGTGAGTGTACTACAACTGCTAGGTTATTTATAAGACATCTGAATAAGAATGTGAGCAATGTTATAGTAGCACAGGCTTGAAATACAGAAGTAAATTATGAATTCATATTGTAGGTTACATACATTTCTCCCATTCTTCAAAAATAGTAAGATTTCATTGATCTTACAGTGTATTCATCAAAATTCATTTATTAATTGCTTTTGATCTACCTAGTGTTGGCCTATATAATAAATTTTCTTTAGTTATCTGCCACTTAGTACCTCTCCATAAAACATGTCATATATTATGGTGGAATACCAAGAAACTGACAGGTCATTAAGATTTTGTATAGCTGAATTTTTTAGCTAAGTTCAGTCTATGATTGAATTCTGAAATTGGAAGGGGCTTTAGTATAATCTAGTTTATTTTACTTGGACAAATTTGAGACTTGGTGGGGTCAACAGTAGAAACAGTAGCTACACATCCCTGGGGGTTTATTTTTACTCAACACACAAAAAAGTTTGTAAGTGAAGCTGCCCAGCAAGCAATGGACCAAGAAGTGCATTTTTCTATATCTGACCCTCATTCCATTGTGACAGGAACATTGTAGACTAGAGGGACTGTGCTGCATTATGAAGTTGGACTAAATCCATGATACTCAACAGAGAAAGGCTAGGAGATATTACAACATCTCTGAGAAGCTGACATAGTTTTAACATACAAATACACTTCAATTTTTTCTTAATTTGAAATATTAAAAGGTGGCATTTAATTTGGTTGGGCAATGTTTAAAGTTTCTTCCAAATCACTTTTTAAACATTTCCTTTTGAGCTCCAGGAATATGTCTCAGTGGCACAGGGCCTGCCTGGCAAACATGAGGTTGTGAGTTTGATTCCTGGTATTAAAAAAAATTCCTTTTGAGACACAGGGAACATAGTCTTGACATAGTCAAGGGCCTGGGAACAGGGAGGGTCCTGGACTTTGCCTACTACTTATTAAAAGCATGATTTATGTTTTCTCCTGGGGCAGCCACAGTCTGAAAAGCCATTTTTACTATGAACTATGACTCATCCCTTGGGTCTACATGTGCTTAATAAGTAACTAAAAGCAAAGCAAAGCCTGACCTTCATTATGTATACTTTATATGATAAATCTTTATTAAATCTCTTAGATTTTCATAGGGACATGTTGATGATCATTTAGGGAATGTTGGGTTAGAAGCTGGCCAGGCAGGGTTGATTAGCCAATTTTCCTAATCTCATCCACATTCAAGATTGAGGACACCATGATAGGAATTTACAGTAACATTCACCTTCCAGTCACTTTTATACCTGTGATCACCTGAATTCCAGTAAAGGTGGAGCCCCACATGACTTGAGACCATCATAAACAAAGATAATCCTTTTTTGGGAAGGAAACCATCCTTCAGTCATTCCAAAACTATGTACTAGGAATGAGATAATGATCAACTGGATCCCAGCCTACCAGCTAGTCATTGAACATAGTTGCTTGCCTTTGTGGGAGGACCACTCTGAATCCCTCTATCAAAGTGTGCCCTCTCCAGCTACCTAAACTTAAATCTTTTCCTATCTTTTCTTTAACTTTCTAATTAAAGTTTTTTTCTACTGTAAATTTGTGGTTTAGTCTTAGTTTCTGACAGATTCTGCCAGCTTGAGGCTTATCTATCTCTAAAGTGACATTCGTCCAACTTGGTATGGGGCCCAGAGAAACAATTTATCTCTCTAAGAGTAACTTCTATGTTCTCCTTCTAGTTCCATTAATAAACCTCCCACTCCCTTCTTGCACGTGTGCCAAGCCCTCTCCAATCCCAAGACCCCGCAACCACCCAAGTGCTTCACCCCCAGTCCCCGATGTTTTTCTATTTTGTGCAGGCAGATGCCTTTCAAATCAGCTGTTGATTATGTCATTTTGCCCACCTCCCAAATTCCTCCCCCAGCCAGACCTGAAAAAAATACTTCCACTTCTTTGTTCTACCCAGAGAGTGCTTGGGTTTCTTCTGCAGACCTCTGGTGCCTCCACTAAAGGCCTCTTTCTCTCTGTCTCTCCATTCTGTCAAAAATCAGGTCCATGCTGGCTGGTAACAAGATCTTACTACATAGCCCAGTCTGGCCTCCCACTTGGAATCCTCTTGCCTTAGCCTCCTCACTGCTAGGATTAAAGGCATGTAGCGCCACAATGTTTTTCATACTTTAAAATGACAACTGTCCTGAAAATCTAGTTCTTCTAGAAGCCATCGTAATCTCATAAGGATTGAGACATACAGGGAGTTGCAATGCCTAAGGGTTTCTCAGTTCTTTGCCTCTGCAGCCTATCTGCATAGCTGAGTCTTTCTAGCCAGAAGGATAATTGGTTTGTCTTACTTCTGTTTCTTCCATTCCAACTTGTTGAACCTCATCCTCTCTTGAGTTCGCCCAAGATCCTTAATGTGCCAGACAGTGTATGGGCAGTGATTGAGGTGGTAAAAGAATTACCAAAGTCAAGGAATATAGGAAAGACAAGAGTTTATTCAGGTTAGAGTACACTGCCAAGAGGGACAGCAGGCAAGGTTCCAAGAGAGGACTCCTATGTTTAGTGTGACAGATTGTAGATGTGGGGAAGCGTCTGAGTTGGCAAATGGAGTTATCTTAGATATATTTTCCAGGGCTTGCTGTGACTTGTTACTCTTTCAGAAACACCTGAAGTTATACATCAAGTTGCAAATTGCCAAGGTCATTTACTCCCGTCTCACAGCAGCCCCTGTAGTTTTAGATAAGGCTGCCAATACACATTAATTTTTTGAGAGACAAATGGGTCAGGGCTCATTGGGATGAAGAGTTCTTTATTTTTAATCTTGTTTATCTACTCAGGATTAAACACAATACCTCCTGACTGCCCAGCACGTGCTGAGCAAGACTGTGTCAGCAGAGAAACACGGGTGTTGAGAATTTTAACCTCTTTGTTACATTAATAAGTCTTGATTTCATGTCCTATCACCAAGGCGTCTTTAGTCAGTCATATTTCACACTCTGCATTAGCACCCTTGAGCTAGTTTCTTACTGGTCAATCCGACCATTAGGCTCGCCATTCCTCCTCACCCCAAGTACGTGCCCCTTGAGGTGGCCACCTCCCTACGCAGTAGCGGCTGGAGTCAGGTTAGTTTTCCTGACGTTTGTCGCAGTCATCACTGGTGTAATGGCTAGCAACGTCCACTAGATCAGTAGAGAGAGCGGTGCAACCGCTGAAGAACGTGCAAAGCCAAGTGCAGTAGACAGCGCCCACGACCACTAACCACTAACGATTTGCACCGGGCGCTCAGCCGGAACTCCCCTCCACCGCCCTCCCCGGGTCGCATCCGGGGCCTGCGCTCCACTGCCGGAAATGCCGGTGAGAAGCGCCCGCCCCCCGGCAGTCTAGAGCGCCCCGGAAGAGTTGCGCGGCTCTGCGGAGGAGTGTGTAGCTGACGGGACGGTAGCTAGGCCCGCCTCTCTCGCCGAGTCCCCCGGAAGTCGTTCTGGGTTGCCGTGGGAGGGGTCCCTTGTTTCGTCTCCCCAGGAAGAGGCGCCTGGCCTGGGCCGAAGATTTCCTTGTCTTCTGGACCGCGCGGAGGCCCGGGCGCAGGAGCCTGTTCGTCTTCAGTCCTGGTTCGCCTGAAGCCCCGCGGACTGAGCGCTCCGCAGTCAGAACTCGGTGACCTGTCCGGGTGTGCTGGGGTCTGTAAAGGCCCGCTTCGCACTTTGGGGCCGTGTCTTTGCTTGAAAGGGAAGCGGGAGGAGGGCGCATTCGCAGTTTGGGGCCTCTTGAGGCCAAGCTAGGAGCCAGGCGAGGGCCTTCAGGAGGGTTGGGGGAGGATGTAACCGTGTCACGTCCTTGGGTTTGAAGGACACCGGTCAAACTTAATTGGAATTGCAGCTGTTCCCTGTATTATTAGACTGCCCACCTAGTCTGACGAGGGGTCTGCTCCCCCATAATGGAGTCGTCTTATTAGGCCCACTTAGTAGCTCAAAGTGGGCTGACAAACTGTTATCAAGTGATTCCTCGGGGGCCTGGTTTGGATATAACAATGAGTAATCATAACAAGCGTATTTCTTCCAGTACAAATTTGAGCTTCCAACAAGCTTGAAAGTTTCAACTATTTTAGACTTTCTACAGGAAGCTCTATTCAGCTGTACTGTGTTTGTTTTGGTTTGTTTTGTATTTTGTTGAACTGTAGTTAGGCCTCAAACCTGGGTGATCCTTCTGTCTCAGCTTCCCCAGCTCCAGGGTTACTGACGTGTGTTAGCATGCCCTGCGTTTTTTTTTTTTTTTTTCTTTCCCCTTAAATACCATAAATTCCGAATTAGTGGAGTTCAAATAAACCTTCATTCTTGGACCTAGTGATTTGGCTCTGAAGTATTTGAAGTTGAATAATAACTATGTTTCTTTCTGTTTATTTTGGGTGGTTAATCATTATTTACCAGTTTTTATTGAGTATCTCCAGGGTGTAAGGTATTTTGCTAGGTCCTAAGGATCTGAACTAATGGGATACTTTATCTTATTCCTATCATTTTTCCTAATCTCATCCTGCAGTGATGGTCATTGTTCTCCAGAACAGGGATGGAGGAACTGTCAGCACAAGAAGCCTCAGGATCACCAAGGGTCCAGTTTCACTCTTTGGAGACCCAGTCTGAGTGTCTTTCCCCAGAGCCTCAGTTCATGCAGGACGCCGACATGGAGCAGGGACTCACTGGGGGTAAGGCAGAGACAACACTTGTATCCAGGAGAATGGGAGTTTAGAGTGGCTTCTGGGCCTCTCTGGTGTGATGAAGTCAGCAACTCGAACAAGAAGATGGACTTTAGAGGGAGGACTGGCCAGGGCCCTGCTGTTGAGAATGGTTCCTCTTTAATAAGCAGAGTGGTATTCACTCATTCTGTGGCTCTGTGTCCTTTAGACAACCTTCACTTCATCCCAGTTAACACATCTAGAATAATTTCTTGAGCTATGCTGCTTTTGCCACATCTCATAATTCTTGCTTGGCTCTTACTTCCTCTTAAATTTAAGACCTTTCCTTCCCCCTGTTCACTTAGTTTCTCTTTCCTTGCTGATAGGGTGCTTTGCCACTTGCCATTGTGTTGTAATTACAGTGTTTGTAACTAATCTAGCTTTTTTTTTCTTTTTTTTTTTTGAGACAGGGTTTCTCTGTGAGTGCAGGGTGGCCCTTGAGCTCACTTTGTAGCCCAGGCTGGCCTTGAACTCACAGTGATCCTCCTGCCTTAGCCTCCTGAGTGCTGGGATTACAGGTGTGCACCACCACGTCGTTTGTGACTAATCTAGTTTTGACTAAGAAAGTGACTATTTCCCTATTTTAACACAGTGTCTGTTTGAATGCATTCATGTTACATACTGACAATACAATCACATTTTAGTGCTTTGTATAGATAGGTTGGCCAATTTTTTTTAATTGGTTAAGAACTGTGTCTTAGATTGCTGTGGCCAGCTTAATGTCAGAAGTAACTTGTATGTCAACACCACATGAGGAGTACCATGGTGTGTAGGGTGCTGTGGGGAAACATTGTGGGAATGTGGAAAGGATTATGAAACCTTGCACAAGTGGTTGCAGAGAAAAACTTACAGAGTTTGTAGAACTGTGTTCCGGAAACTTAGAAATCTACTAAATAACTCTGGCCTTGATAAGTCACTTCAACTCTTTATGCTTTGCGTCTCCCAATGCAGAGCAGGGCCAGTGCTTACCCTGCTGTGAGAAGAATGTTAGGTTATAAGGATAAAGTGAAATAGATTTCCTAAGAACATCCCGTGTCATAGGCCTAAATACACATAAGTAAGTCATACAAGTACTAAGGAGGAACAGAGTAGAGCTACCCAGTACCTGATACGTATTTCTTGGTTTCAGTAGAATACTGATGTGGAAGAGGGTCCCTCTGACACCCCTTGGGCTGGAGAGGCCTCTTTTCAAGGGAGCCCTGTGGAAGGGCTGCTCTTATTCTTGATCCTTTCTCCTCCCTCAGCTCCACCTGTTCCCCAGGTGCCTGCTCTTCCCCAAGAGGGAAGCCCAGGAGACCAGACAGCTGCACTCCTGACAGCCAGGTACCAGGTGAGCTGAGGAACCTTCTGCTTTTCCTTGGACTGTGGCTGCTGGTTCACTGTGGCCTCTCTTTCAGTCCATCCGTTAAACCTTGTTTGGAGTTTTTTTCACTAGCAGACCCCAGTTTGGGAACTGAGTCTCTTCAGAGAATTAGACTTCACACAGACTACTTTCCCATCTCCCTGACACCATGAGCAAATCTTTGTTCATGATGCTGTGATGGGCACTTCATAGATATTGAAGGATTGTTAGATCATCTCCATGTATTTTAATCTATTCTTCATCTTCCCCAACATAAATATACACTGCATACCCTCTCTGTAATCATCTTCGTGTCCTGGCCATGGTGCTACAGTGGCCTCATTTTCCCAAGAGCAGCCAGGATGTGTTATTTCAGGAGTTTGTGACATTCGAGGATGTGGCTGTGTACCTTACTCGAGAGGAATGGGGATGCCTGGACCCTGTTCAGAGGAACCTCTACAGAGAAGTGATGTTAGAAAATTATGGGAACGTGGTCTCACTGGGTAAGGACTGTCTTTTCTTATTACTCAATTGACCTACTTGGATTTCTTTAACTTGTTTCTGAGTAAATGTAAAGTCTCTGAAAAGATTAGTAAAGTGTGGCTCAGATTTTAGGTCTTAGAACTCCTGAATTCTTTTATCTTTAAGGACATTTTCTTTGGAAAGGAAATTATAATTGCTTTGCTTGGAGTATCAAGAGGGGACATTCTACTCTTTGTCCTAAGTTCATGTTTTCTACTTTTTTGGGGCATATCAAAGAGAGACATCCCTATTGATCAGAGAGAAACTTGCTTATGCTTTGCATAAGTTCTCACCTTCCCTATCTTTTTTCTTTTTCTTCTTCTTCTTTTTTTTTTTTTGTAAGAAAGACTCTTAAGAGTACCCTCCCAGCCCTGGCTAGGCTCTTTTCTCTCTGGTATATTTGCTCTGCATCTGAGGGTTTCCCATTTTGCTAAGAAAAAGAAAAGTTTTTTTAAGAGACTAAAATCCTTTTTGAGTAGTCTCCTGTGTCTTAAGATTAATCTCTACACAGGAATGTTGGAGAGACTTGATAAAATGGCATGAGTCACTGTGAGTACATTTCAATGAGTCATTTCGATGGTAATCCCAAAGAACCACCCGCAGGGTAGCAGAAGTCCCAAACATTTACCCCACACAAAATTTGGGTAAATTCTTGCCGGGCATGGTGATGCATGTTTGTAATCCTAGCACTTAGGAGGCTGAGGCAGGAAGATCATTGTGAGTTTGAGGCCAGCCTGGGCTACAAGGTGAATTTAAGGCTGCCCTGAAGTATATAGTGAGATCCTGTTTCAAAAAAGCATAAAGGGAAAAAAATTACTAAACCATATCTGTCCTTTATCAATTTGAATGGTATATAATAGGCAGCTGGAATTAGGCACCTGTAATGCACTTGACAAGAATCAGCAGTGGGTTATTGGTAGCCTCCTTTATATAAGCACTCTCTCTTTCTCTTTCTCAGTCCCCCCCGCCCCCACTTCTGTAGGAATGTATTATGTCTATATATTTACTCACACTTCTTTTTTATGCTTTTCCTACACTGGCGGTGTGCAGGGCATTTCTTTGTCTCCCTAATTACCCTTAGGATTCACTCAGTTGTCTTAACTGTGGGGAGGAAGTCTGCCCACTGGAAAGATTTTTAGTGTGTTTTCCATTCCTGGCTCTTTGATCTTTATAGGCATACTTCTCCGCCTTCCTACCACCCGGATTCATTGTGTGAATTCCTGCCCAGCTCTGAGTCATACCCAGGCAAGTGCTTTCTCTGGAGAAACACTTGCAGTGCTTTCAGCAGGAATCTCCAAGAGATGGCCCAAGTATCGGCTTCCCATCGGTAGTGTTCGTCCCTGCTCGGAAACTCCTTTTCCACAAGTGTAAGATATTAAACTTGGTTGATGGAATAGATGCTCCCTGGGATACCACCACTGTGTAAAACTGTAGCTTCTCAATGACCTTTGTTAAATTTTAATGTGAAGGGTCCAAGGAAGCCTTCCTTGCACCCCGATGCATTTTGAACCCAGTTCATTCAGAAACCATGCTTTCTAGTCAGACACTTAGGTTTTGAGAAACTACAGAGTTCAAAAGTTCAACTCTACCTCTTCATATGGGGTCTTGTATTAGAATGTAGCACATTTGCTGTGTGCCCTTTTTCCACAGTGAGCAGGACCAGCTCCTTGTGTTTTCTCACTCTGCTGCAACCTCTGGGCTTTCCTTACATTTAACATCATGCTTTTTTCCTTCCTTCAAAGGCCTACCTTCCTCCCCTTGACTCTGAGGTGCTATACCGATTGATGTATTTATAGTACCTTTCCTGATGAAGTGTTCCTTAGCACTGTTTGAGGGAGGGGAAACGGGAGCATAAAACAAAGTTAAATCTTTTTTTCAGGGCATCAATATGAATGTATATTTAATAACTTTGTAAAATGTAAAATTATATATATAATTGTAAAATATTGTCAATTTTACTTAATAATTACAGAATTTCCAACATTAATCTGTCTAATTTTTGGAGTAAAACATCGTGGAAAAACTTGTAGATTATGGTGTAATGTAGTCTAGTAGCACAGCATGCAGTGAGACTGAACTTTATTCCATTTTCCATGTCATCTCTGTGCATGTATACAGGACACCCATGCATACTGCAACATCAAGTCGCACTACAGGAAGCCCACCTACTCAGTCTACTTTTGTGATCAGGTCAACAATATGTCTTTAGAAATCACTTTTATGGAAAATCATTTTCTATTTGTGGGTTTACTGAACTGCATTCTGAAATTAAACTATTTGTGGTTGTAACCGAAGGGCTTTATAATTCAGTTTCTACTTAACATTCCCACTTTTAAGTTTACGCCTTTGTTTTCCTCTAGCAATAGCTCTAAATTGTATTTGCCACAGACATTAGAATTTTGGTCCTTTGGTTAAGTGCTTTCACAGTATACTAGTAAATGTAGAGAATATAAATAGTCACAGCTGAGATCAGGTGTGGTGCACACCTGTAATCCCAGCACTTGAGAGACTGAGGCAGGAGGATTGCTGAGAGTTTAAGGCTAGCCTGGCTACATAGTGAGCTCAAATCCAGCCTGAATTATCTAGCAAGACTGAAAAAATCAAAACAAGAACAACAAAACAACCACAGCGGAACTTTGGTTCCATGTTTTCACTAGATAGTAGTGAATATGCAGACTAGGAATAGCTGAGTGAAAAGTACACAGTAAATAATTTTCATTATCAAATTTAAAAGAAACCAAATTTTGGTTGTTGACAGTGAACAAATAACTGGCTTTTAACCCAAAAAGAAATTGCCTGCGAGTGCTGAAGATTTTAGACTGGGTTGCACTTTACATAGGTCATTGTGGGAGATGTAGCTGATGGCATTAGAAGTATGCTTATCAAAGTTCTATTTGGTGGTAAATGAGTTAGTAGATCAGGAATGTTTTACACATACCCATGGCTTTTTGAACTTGATGCCCTGGAAGGCAACGGTGATTTTGCACGGAATGTTTTCTACTATTTTTATTTTTTTTCTGGTATTGAGGATTGAACTCAGGACCTTGTGATTGCCAGGCAGTTGCTGTTTCCCAGCCTAGTGATACCTATATCACTTAATCCTTACTATCGCCCTGTGAACAGAAGATGTTATTTTTACTTTGAGTTTGAAGACATTGAGGCTCAGAAAAATTAACAGACTTAAGATCCAGACCTATCTTGGAAAGTTGTATTGTTTTCTACTGTTTTGTGCTTCTAGGGTAATAAGTGCAGCCACATATGACATTTGAAATTTGGTTTTTTTCAATACTGGGTATTGAACCCAGGGCCTCTGCTGACTTACATCCCCAACCCTTTATTATTTTGGAGGAGAGTCTCCAAATCACCAAGTTGTCCAGGATGAGCTTGAACTTATAAACCTCCTGCCTCAGGACTATAAATATTTTTTATGGGTTATCTGTATTCTGATAATAGAGAACATCAAAATGACTATGATAAGTTACACAGACTAGTTTATACAGTTTGGGATCTGAAAGGCTATGTATGTAAGAAGTAAAACTAAGAGTGTAGTATAGTGTAGTAAAAGAGATACCTGTAGAAGAATGCTTTGCTACTTGTGTTTGCTCATGCCTGTAATCTCAGCTCCTGAGGAAGCTGAGGCAGATCACAAGTTTGAGGTCAACTTGGGGAAATTAGTGAAACTTTTTCGTAAAAAAGCCTGGCAGTGTAGCTCAGTGCAGGCAAGTGTGTGTGAAGTCCAGTGAGCCACATCCCCATGAAAAAGCTATTGCTAAGAGATTTTTATTTGTGGATTTATTAAGGACCATGAGAGGAAGCATGAAGCTTCCAAATTGCAGAACACTTTAGCACAACTCTGGTAAGAGGAATGAGCCAAATAAAGTAAAATTTAAATGTTATTTTTGTGGTGCTAAGGATTGAATATATGGCCTTATACATGCAGGCAAGTGTTCTACCACTGAGCTACATCCCCAACCCTTTTTTGAGACAAGGTCTTGCTGAGTTCCCTAGGCTGGCCTACTTCCTACTGAAAAAATAAATTTTTGGGGGTGGGGGACAATGTCTCACTGTATAGCCCAGGCTAGCCTCCAACTTACAGAGATCTTCCTGCCTTAGCCTCCTAAGTGCTGGGATTACAAACATGCACCACCACACCTGGTTCAAATATTATTTTTAAAGACTACACTATAGTAAAGCTAATAGAACACTATTAAGACTTACATTAAAAAATAAAAAGATGTGAATAAAAGTTATAGAGAGGAAAAATTTAAAGCAAGTGCGCTTTTTTTGATTTTTTTTTTTGGTGGGGGGGAGATAGGGTCTCTTGTGTCATGCAGGCTGGGCTTTAGCTGGCTTATACATCCCAGACTGGCCTCAAACTCACAATGATCCTCCTGCCTCAGCCTCCTGATTGCTGTGATTACAGACATGTGCCATTATGACTGGCACAAGTAGATATTTTGAAAGTACAGAGTTTCAAGTTAAAATTTTGGGAAAAAAAATTCATCTCATTGCCAAGAAAATCTACCATTAATATTTTCTGCAACAGGCAGTATGAAAAATTGGAAGGATTAGACCATAGAATCAAACATAGGTGTGACTTACTAGTTGTGATATGTAAAACAAAATAGCCTACACTTATTTTCTTCATCTGCAAAGCATGAGTTGTGCTAAAGATTTAGTTAGATTATGTACATATATAAGTACCTGGCTTGTGATAGTGATTTTGGGAAGCACAGCAAGTGATACAAACTATTTATGAGATTTTTTAATACAAATAAACATGTAAGGAGCTTATTAAAAATTTTTTTTTTTTTGCCTTTTTCCTTTTTATCAGTACCGGGTATCGAACTCACAACTGCCTGCTTGCAAGGTAGGCGCTTACACCGCTGAGCTAAATCCCCAGCCCCTAAAATTATTTATATAGAATTTCTTCAAATTTTCTTCAAACTAGCCTTGGGTTTGGATGTTTATTATTAAAAGAGATTTGCATTTTTTGATGCTAAATCATCTTTGAGGAACTGCCTCCCCTTTTTGTGTATGTTTTCATTTTTTATTAGAGAAGTGGGAGGTTGAATTTCAATATTGATGGTATTGTAACTTGTCTGCTTTGTTCAGAGGAACACACAATCAATTTGTACAAGGGTATACAACAATTTAGTTGGCATTTTGTGTTCTAAAATCAGTAATCTGACTAGTTCTAGGCTACCAGACTCCCCTGCACTGTTCCTCGCTCTCAGTTTTGGCAGATGGCTCAGTTCTCAGTTCTCATGCACTGTCAGCAATAGGATTTTTTTTTTTTTTTTTTTTTTTTTTTTTTTTTGTGACAGGGTCTCGCCATGTAGTCCAGGCTGGCTCATACTCATGGCACTCTGCCTGTGTCAGCCCCCCAGGTGCTGGGATTACAAGCATGTGTCACAACATCTGGCAAGACCCCTTTTAATTAAAAGTTCTATGGCTCCAAGGGCCAGGGGTTTAGCTCAGTGGTATAAGTGCTGCCTGGCAGGCATGAGGTCATGAGTTCAATCCCCGATAAAAAAAATTTTTTTCTGTAGCTCCAAATTCTTAGGATCTCACTCTATGTTTTATTCTAGTCACTTTTTTTCCTGTTATTTTTCTTTTTACCTTTTACTCTGTACATTGATCTTCTGTTTTGTTTCTGTATGTGTTTTGGAGGAAGGGATAGACTTTATTTCACTGTCATTACTTTTTACAAGTAGTGTGTTTAAAAGCTAGTTTCACCAGCTATTGTGACTTTGGAGAAGTTGTTTTGAGATCTCAAATTCCCATTTGTGTGAAAACAATAATGTTCCTACTTTATAAAGTAGTGAGTATTAAATGAGTGAAAACTTTAAAGCTCTTGGCATGGCATTTTGCACCTACTTAGTAAACCTTAATACTTTGATAATACTTACATTACAAGTGGCTGTGTGTTGTAAACCATTTTCTTCCTTCCAAGCTTCAGTCTTGTCTATTAACTGCTTGTTCGACATTTTCTGTTTTATTTTCTTAAATACAAGTGTCAAACTCCTCATCCTGTAAGAAGACAGCCTTTTTGCTGTGCATTTGCATTTTAAATGTAACCATAAATAGCCAATTTGTCTCAAATATTAAATACTGAGGCTGAGGATTTAGCTCAGTGTGGTGTATGTGCTTGCCTGGCAAGTGCGAGGACGTGAGTTCAATCCCTAGTACCAAAAGCAAACAGACAAACAAACCTGAGAAGCATCATAGTAAATATTTAACATTATTGTTAATTAGAATTCTGAACACAATCTTTGGTCCTTCATGTCACACACTGTTTTTTCTTTCTTTCTTTCTTTTTTTTTTTTTCCATGCTAGATAGTGAATCCAGGCCTTCACACATGCTAGCCAAGTGCTCACTGTGTGTATGTATGTGTACAGGTATATGTGTGTTTATGTACATATGTGTGTCTTTATATATACATACATATACAATGGTGCCTCAGTTTATAAGCTTCATGCCATGATTCTGGTCACAGAATTTGTTCTATAATTCTGGCGAACTGAGGTACTACTGTGTAAATATATTTTTTGGTGTGGGATTGAACTAGGCTCTTGTATGTGTAGGGTAAGTCCTGTATCTGTAGGTTGTAGTGATTTTTAAACCCTTCTTTTTAGTGCCTGGGATTGAACTAACTCAGGGCTTTGTGCCTGGTAGGCAAACACTGGATTGCTGGGCTACATCCCCACTCTAGTAAAACTATTTTATTTGGCATGGAAGACTTAAAACAAGTGTCCAGAAGGAAAACTGACTGTTAATCCCTAGCTGGAATTCAGAAACATAATAAATGACTTGCATGTGTACCGATCTCCTTGTGCGTAGACTCTCACATGGAATCCTGAGGAAGTACCTGTTGGTTCACATTTTCTAGGAGCAGTCATGTTATGTAAAATTGAGTAGCTGTCAATACATTTACTCTTGGGGACAAAGTTGATACTCAGTAAGTAGCTGTTAAGCAAATCAAAAGAAATGTAAGATAAATGACAAATTTATAAATTGAGGATGATGAATTCTGGAACTACTTACTAAAAATCTATTAATGTCATTACATGGTGACATGTAGGATAAGGGGGAACAAATAATACATTTTTCAGACATTCAGTAAGTAAAGGGAGAGATTTTTGGAGATGAATGGCTTGAGCCAGACCTTGTATGTATACTTTTAGATGCTTTCTGGCCTCAATGTATAAAAAAGTATACTGCCTGTTGCTTTAGCATTAAAAGAGTTAGGTGCTAGTAGTCCATTATGCAAGCTACAGCAAGATTACTCTGTGTGCATATTTACTGTTGTGCTTCTCCCACTATATTGTATTGTAGTTGTTCACTGCTATCTCAGCAGTGAAGTGTTAGGACCTTGGAGAGATGGACCTTCTGTTTGGGCACTCCATCTCTTCCATTGTTTGCATATGAGAGGCACTCTCCTAAATGTTGTTTTTTCTTTTTTACAAATCCATTTTATTCAAAGATAATAGAAAAAGAAGAAAAACTGTAACAATTTCAAACCATGTCAGTCAAGGGATAACAATGATACATACATTGGGTCATCCCCAAACCCATTCACCCAGAGCACAAGACATCTGCCTTCAATTCTAAATGTTTGTTAAATAAACAAGAGTATAAACTAATGGTAAGGTTGTCATAGACTTTGTTCATGTCCACAGAAACTTAATTTTATTTTCTTGAGGCATTGGGGTGATTCTTTGCATAATATATAGTATATATAATATAACTGTATTAGGGTAATCATTTCTATTTTTTCGAACAATCCTTTTTGGGGGTGGTGTTCACACATTCTAGGTAAACATTGTACCACTGAGCTACATCATCAGCCCTTTCTATTTTGAGACAAGGTTTTGCTGTTACCTAGGTTGACCTCTAATGTGAATCCTCCTGAGTAGCTAGCCGTACTAAATTACAATAATAATTTTTCTGTGTTGGAAATTTCATGTTCTTCTAGGCAATTTGAAATCTAGATTGTTTTAATCTGTTACCCAGATTTGCTAAAGAGGAACCAGAAATCACTCCTTTACTCTGTTTTGGTTCTTCTTAATGAACTTTTGTTTCTCAGGGTTTATTCTTGGAATATTCTGTCTTCAGTGATTTTGTTGTTATAGTTTAGCTTTCTATGTAGTAGGTGCTGGAGTTTCACCTTCTCCAGTCTAACAAAATTATATTTGATATCTATAGGCCCGATCTAATGTAAGGATTTATCTTTAGGCCACAAATGGTTATAATGATAACTTCTGTGAAGACAGGTGTGCACTGATGCACAAAATTTGTCTGAATAATCTCTAAATGAATGCTGCTGCTTGCAAGTTATCATCTTGCTGCTTAACACATCTCTTTCTAGAGCACAAATCTGAGCTCCTTGTACAGGACCTTTGCCCTTCTCACTCTTCAGGCCTTCCTAATTAATATCTTCTCAGAACATCTTTCTCTACTACTTACCAGTTAAAAGAAAAAGGTGGCTGGTGTGGCATCTGGGGATAAATTGCCATATCCCATTTCCTTCTCTATGAGCAGGATTTCCAATTTCCAAACCTGATGGGATCTCCCAGCTGGAACAAGATCTACAGGTCTTTGATCTGGAAACTAAGGATAGAGAAGTCTTAAGAGGTGACTACTCAGGTGAGTAAGGCAGAATAAATCACATGGAATTAGTAGGGAAGTAAAATGAAATTGTTGAGTCAAATTGTAAGTGCTTTGACATTCAAAAAAAAGAGCTCTTTCTGTCATGGAATAGAGAGCTCCTGCCTTTTCCTGTGGTTTAGGTTGACCCTTTGTATTTATTTAGCTCCTAGGCACAAGTTGTACTAGGCCCCTATTCAAGTTGCTTACCTAAAATCCTTTTGAACAAGTTTCCTGTTAGCTGTTTTAAAGTTCCATACCTGGTTATCCTTTTACTCTGTTGAACACAACCTGCATGATCCATTTGGATCCTACCAGGCTGCTGCTGTTCAAGCCCTTAACATCTGCTGTTGAGATTTTGTGCCTGTTTTTCAGAGTAAATAAACTTCTTTTATGCTGGTAGATACTATTCAGTTTTCTTCTGAATTTTCTTTTTAAGTACAGGGTACAGATTACATTTGTATTTTTTATTTATATATTGTATCAGATGGAGAAACCAGAGAAGAGAACAAGCTGTTGATTCCTAAGCAGAAAATTTCAGAAGAAGTGCATTCATACAAAGTGAGAGTAGGAAGACTCAAACAGGATATTGCCCAAGTTCCTGAGACTAGAGAAGTATATAAGTCTGAGGACAGATTAGAAAGGCTTCAGGAAATCCTAAGGAAGTTTCTCTTTCTGGAGAGAGAGTTTAGACAAATAACAATCGGCAAGAAAACCTTCACCAGTGAGAACAGCGAATGTAATGAACCTGAGAAAAGCTTCAGTCTGGATTCTACCCTTGAAACAGATCACAGAGTTCTTAGAATACAGAATATTGATGACAGTAAGTATGACACGAACTTCCAGAACTCAGCTACTGATAAACATGAACACATAAGTCTACAACAGACTTTTCAGGATAGTGAATACAAAGAAAGCCTAATGGATCTCTCCCATCTCAATAAATGGGAAAACATTTCTACCACTGAGAAATCCTATAAATGTGATACATGTGGAAAAATCTTTCATCAGAGCTCAGCCCTTACTAGACATCAGAGAATCCATACCAGAGAGAAACCGTACAAATGTAAAGAATGTGAAAAGTCTTTCAGTCAGAGCTCAAGTCTTAGTCGACATAAAAGAATACACACCAGAGAAAAGCCTTATAAATGTGAAGCATCTGATAAATCCTGTGAAAAGTCTGATAAATCATGTAGTCAGAGTTCAGATGTAATTCAGCATAAGAAGATTCATACCAAAGCCAAATCTTACAAGTGTAGCAGTTGTGACAGAGTCTTCAGTCGTAGTGTACACCTTACTCAACACCAGAGGGTTCACAGGGAGATGCCCTGTAAGTGTACTATATGTGGCAGTGACTTCTGTCACACTTCATACCTAGTTGAACATCAGAGGATCCACCATCAGGAGAAGTCTTATGAATATGATGAATGTGGTTTGGCCTATGTTAAACATCGGGGAATTCGTTTCAGAGAAAAACCCTATACATGTAATGAATGTGGAAAAGACTTCAGATTGAATTCACATCTTATTCAACATCAACGAATTCATACAGGAGAGAAAGCACATGAATGTAATGAGTGTGGAGAAGCTTTCAGTCAAACCTCATGCCTTGTTCAACATCACAAAATGCCTAGGAAAGAGAAATCATATGAATGTAATGATTATGAGGAAAGTTTCAATCATAACTCAGATCTTATCTTGCAACAAGAAATTCTCACCAGAGAAAAAGTCTTTGACTGTGATGTGTGGGAAAAGAACTTCAGTCAGAGAGCACATCTTGTTCAGCATCAAACGATTAATACCAAAGAGAAACCTTATGAATGCAATGAACATGAGAAGATATTTAATCATGTTCAGTCCTCATTCAACATCTGAGGGTTCACACCAGGGTGAAGTCATGTACGTAATGAATGTGGTAAAGGTTCAGTCATAGCGCAGACTATGGTCAATGTCAGAATTCATGAGAGAGACCCTCTGTGGTAAATGTTGGAAAGCTTTTATTGTTAAACTCTTAATTGGCTCCAGCAATTCATACTAGTAGGGAAAGCTAAGAATATATTGAACATGGTAAATTCACACTATGTTCATTCATTATTCATAATTGGGGAATTTGTACTGGAATAAAATTCCAATATGTAAAAAAGCAATCAAAGGAACTACCTTGCTTCAATAACAGATTCATGTCATGCAGAAAGCCTATGAGTTTTATAAATGCATGTGTGAGGGGAAATTCAGTTATAACCCAGTGCTCATTCAACATCAAGGAATTACCCAAAAGAAGTCCTTTGAGTCTAGTAAATGTGGCAGATCTTTTCAGTAAGAATTTATCAAGTCTTCATTGTGATCAAAATATATCAGATGAAAATGCAGATGAAGAAATGTGCCTCTGTATTTAAGGCTTTACCCATTATTAAAGTAGTAGAAAACTGTTAGTACTAATGTATGAAATCGTTAATCCCTGTTTTCATTGCAGAAAAATCTAGTCTCAAACATAATTTTGTCCTGTATCCTCATCACATTATTTAATGTTTTTTAGGTATGTGTATTTTATTTATGAAACTCATTTAAGCTGTTTTATGGCCTATATACATTTGTATTCATCCTGGAATTGGTTCTTATTTACAGCTTTCCAAGATATTCTTTCTTATTTTTTCTTCCCCAAGACATTCTTAATACACCTTAAAGCATACACCAATTTCTGGAAAGTAGTTTATTTTTTCCTATTGTTGGCCCAAATTGTCTCCAAAACAGATTCTTAAGACTTCTGTTTTTTGAGGACTGTACATTCCAGTTTTTTCATAGCCACAACCCTTAGATTCCTGCATTCCTTTATGAACCTTAAGATGGTGGTTTCCTAGTTTTAAGTGTGTCACTAGTAGGTGTGCCATTCCTACTTGCCATTGCTGGTCTGGTATTTTCTTTTGTGAAGCACCTTTTAAAGAATTGAATTTTCACCTCCAGCCTGTCTTTAAGAATGGAAGATTTGGTCTTCCTGAGTTTGGGGCACATAGCTAAATATTTTCAAGTGATGTCCAAGTTGTTAGCTGCTTCGTCTGCATCAATAAGACTCCTAGTGACCTAGTTACACTCATTCTGTGCCTGTTCTGCATGTCTAAGTTTAGAGTTCTCTTATGAAGCCTAGAAAAATGCTCAGGTCTGCTTTTGCTAGGACAAA